TGGCTGTGCTCCTATTTCTGTAGTTCTTTCTGGTAGCTTCATTTATTAATTGGTAAAAGCAGCAGCTACTAAGAGTCTTGTGCCACCTTGAAGGCTAACAAACATTGTGGCATGAGCTTTCATGGGCCACAGTTCACGTCATCCACTGTTGTTTTTGGAGCAACATGGTTCTCCCTCTGGAAACATGTTAATTGGCAGTTTCATATGGCAAAGTGCTTGTGTGGCAGTGGCTGCTTATAATTTCAGCATGTGTGACCTTTGGCCCTGTGGTAAGCTGCCCCTTGCACTAAGCAACTGTGTGTCTGCAACTGCAAGGGAAAGGGTAGCAGATTCTTGGGAAACGCCAACTTCTCTGTGTAGTTGGTTCATACAGAATTATCAACTCCAAATGTGGATGCTTCACTTCAACAGTGGCTGCTGCTGGGGTTAGATAAAGTTTCATGCTGATGACAGGAAGTGGTCCTCTAGCAGGTGTGGGGAACCTGTGACCCTTCAGGTTGTTGGACTTGAACTCTCATCATCCCCAGGAAGATGGGGAAGGGCCTTAGCTCAGTGGCAGAACATTTGTTTTGTGGCCAAAAGGTCCCAGGTTCAACCTTGGCATCTCTAGGTAAGGCTGAGAGAGTAACCTCTGTCTCAAACTGTGCAGAGCCCTTGCTAGTCAAGACAGACTGGGGGTGGGGTGGGGGACTGGATCTGGCAAGAGGGCCAGATCCTTATCTCCCCCACCTGCTGTGGACCAAATTTGAATGGTGATGTCAAGGTGGGAGTCGGGTCTGCAGTACAAAACAGCTCAGGCCTACTGATCACAGCAACTCTTCCCAATTTGTCTTGCCCCAATGAGGCAGTTGCAAGGACTGACGGTCTGTACCTTCCACTGTTCTCTATGGCTCATCCTCCCTTAGGTCCTTCCCCAGCAACCTGAGGCTCATTTGTCTTGTCTCTCTTTGCTCTGCCCTCTTCTTTCCTCTTCGTGTCCTGGGAGACCAGGGAGAAGGGGAGCTGATCATGGAAGAAGGGGGAGACCCTCTGGTTACTTCAGCAGCCTGCCTCATCTCTGCCTCTTGGCTCCCCTCCTCTCTGGCTTCTGCCACTGATTCTGGACTGCTCTCTGCCACATCCTCTTCCTGCTCACTAAACCCTGTTACCACCTCTACCCAGTCTGCTCCGCCTTCTACCTTTGACCGCTCATCATCACTCTACCACCAATCCCCTGGCTCTGGGACTTCTTCCCTTGGGGGTCCCCCAACTGGTGCCTTCCACCACTTCTCTGCATCTAGCCAGTCCATGACAGGTGAGCAGCTCAAATCACCTAATATCACAACGACATCATGAAACTCTCTCTTTTTTTGCCCACATGGATTGAAAACAGACCAAAAGGACAAAGCAGCAACCTAGAAAATGCTGCACAAGACCAGGCCATCAGCTGATGGCCAGATCTTGTGCTTTGCAAGGAGCTTCTAATAATTTGGTCCTGCAGAGAGCTTAGCAGGAAATGCCAACCTGCTGATCTGAAGTGTGTGTAAGGCCTCTTCAGCTAAACCAGTTCTTTACTTGCCCTTCATCTGATGTCTTATATGATGTTAGGCGCAGGGCAGGTGAGTGCTGCTTGGCCAAAATGAACTGGGGGTCAAATGGGGGTCAGCCTGGTGAGCTGAATTGATGGAAACAGTACTGAGCTAGTCTGACACAGCTTCCTGTACTCTCAGCCAGAATGACCAATGGTTAAGGATAGTGGGAATTGTAATCCAGTAACATGGGGGGGGGGGGTCACAGTTCGTTACCCTTGTCCTATAGATTACAGGGAGATGTAGAGGCAAGGAAGCAGCACTCCTGTTTCTCTGTAACATTTACTTCCATCTTCAGCCTTAACACCCTAATCCTAAGCCCACTTCACATTGCTCCCCCCTTCTCTCAAACAGATAATAAAACGCTTTGCAAACCGTGTGTGTGTCTGCATGTTTCGAGTCAACACATACTAAATGCACTGGATCTAGCCACCTTTTCCTGAATAAAAGTCCGCTAGCAACTCTTTGCACATGGCAGTCTCCAAAAAAAAGGCACCTGTGGTGAAGAATGAATATTCCGACGTTTTCGAACCTTTTGGTGAAGGTGAAGGGGGCTTGTTGAGAACATTGCTGTGAGCAGATGGACCCCTGAAACCATCTGCTATCCAAGCAACTAAATGTTCAATGATGCATTACGAAATTATTTAGCTCTCAAAGAGCCTGAAAGTAGTTAGCAATGATGGCATCTGTACTGAGAGCAAACAACCTATTTATATATGATCTATCACTTCATAAACTGCTTGGAGACCATCTTTTTATTTTTTTTAAATTCTCTCCCCCCCCTTCCCCACCCCCAAGATGCAGTAGTCATATTGACTCCTGATGTATAAAACTGCAGAACAATACAGACATCAGCCATTGGGTCCTTAGCAGATTCAGATCTTTCCTCCTTTACAAATAATAATAAAAAAATCAAGAATATATTTTAATACATTGAGCATTTTCTTTCTTCAGTGTCTCTGTCGGTTTGATTACCATTTTTTCTCTTGGCTGTTCCTTCGCTATAATTAGAAAAGTCAGGTGTTTTGGGGTGAGGGGGGTGAGGTGGCCCATGTCTTTGTGCTGGGCTTGAGCTTTACTGTTCTTTTCCTTTACTTTTTAAAAACTGTTGTTATTTTTTGCTTACAAAGCGGCTAGGTAAATTGCCCCTTAATTTGCCCAGAGGCATCTATACATATTGATTGGCATGTGCAAATTTGTGTCATGGGCCTAGCAATCCTCCAGGCTATAATCGTATTAGGGTACCTTCTCCCATCCCGTTCCTTCCCCCCCACCAGAACCATGATCTGGGAGAGCTGTTTGTCAGTGATACGTCAATATATACTGGCTCTTAAATTCAAGCCATAACTCTTCTTTTTAATTTCCTTTTCCCTCACTGCATTTCTCTCAATCCCATCCCATCTCTCATCTTACCTCCAGCGTACTTCAAACAGAGGCCTTGATGCACTAGGAGCAAAAAATAAAAAGGGAGAGACTGGGGGAAAGCCCCCACAGAAAATGCTCCCTATATATAAGACTGAAACAATACATGCAGCATGATTGAAACAAAAGGCTCCCGCGTGCAGCTGACTCATAGCGCCCATCGCTTCCCTTTCTTGAATACCTGTCAATCAATCACCAGTCAATCACAGGAAGGCCCAATCAGCCACTTAATGACAGCCAGATGGCATCTACTCCCTATGAACTGTACTCCTGAAGTCACACACTTGCTGCCGATAACTAGCAGCGTTGCCTGTCCTGCAAAGTAATGAGATGTTTTTTGTATTCAGGCTAAGTTGTAGTGCCTCGCACCTCTGACAGGACAGCCCTGCGAACAGAATACAAGGCCGTTATTGGGCTGGCATTGTTTGGCCTTTCGTGACAGAATCAATGGTGGCTTTATAAACATTGATGCCCTTCCCATCATCCACCTTGCATAGACATCAGTCAGCTTCACTGGAGAGTAAGTATGACTTGTAAATAACGTGGAGATAGATAGATAGATAGATAGATAGGCATTTGTAATTAAACTACGCAGACCAGACAGAACCAGGGTACCTACGCAGAGTCTGACGTGATCTCTTTCATACTGGTTTACCAACGATTTCAACCTTGACCTGAAGGGAACACTTTTTCTTCAACTGATCGGTAATTTAGCCTCTTTGCTTAGTTCTGGGGCTCTCTTGTAGTGAATTATGTATGGTGCTTCTGTGGTGCAGGCCTCTGTCCACAGAGAACACAGCTGAGGCTGTTAAATAGCTCCTGGAGACCTTAGTTAAATACAATTCCAAACGATTCCCTTCAGCCCTTGTTTGTATCTTTCCAGCTCTGCGGGGGCTTTGGCTGTGTACACATTAGCGGCTTAAAAAGCAGTTCTTTATCTCAATTTCGATAGAAGCTGGTTTGGAGGGAAATGCTTAAAAATGCAGTATTTCATAAGAAACAACAGGAGAGGTACCAGATATGGACTGTGGCTAATGTCATTTGCATCCTACTTCCCAAACCAGTGATGGGAGAGCACTGGATGCCGAGGAAATGGGAGTGTGTATACAGCCTTTTTCAAAGAAACAAACAAAAAAAACCTACTGTACTTCAAAGTCATTACTTGCCCCTTTGAACCCCGATGGTGAATTTCTGGGAAGGTCCTAAGGGGGCAGAATTCCTTTTACAAGAAGAAAATGCATAAAAGAGCCTTCCTGAGTCACAGCGCAACACCCTCCTTTTGGTAGCAATCAACTCATAGATGAGTAGGATTGAACAATGTGTGATACATCAAGCCAGCTGCAAGTCTTCAGCGGTCGAGCCTCATATGATATCTCACCACAAGCTCAATAAACCTATTGCTTTAGCGGTCTCCCTAGGACCAGAAGATCATAAGGCTGTAGTTAACTTGGTGGGTTATAATTTTGTGCAAGACTCTTGCAGAGGAAGTCCATAGGAACCCAGAGAGCATTTTCTGTTGTTCACCCTTGGTGCCTTCAGCCACCAATGGGAAAGGGCCCAATGGCAGGCAAGCAGAGGAGGCCTTGACTCTTCCTCTGGTGCTGAGGGAAGAAGTCTTGGTGATGTTGCTCCCTCTGATGAATCCAGGGACAATGGCATTTCCCTTCTGCGGTATCTCAGCTTTGCCATGTCCAGTTTTGCTTTGCAGTTCACACAAGCACAGGATGTTTTCTCCCATCTGAGGCTGTCTTTTGGGGAGTAAGAGAGGGATGGTCCCTTGTCACTCAAGGGCAGGCAGGTTTGCATCCATTAAGGGTGGAATGTAAATGGAGGCAGGTCCCCTGTGTGAGAAGCGGAAGCCCTCCCTACGCTCTCAGCACTGGCTGCTGGAATGCAGGCCAGGGAATCTCATTAGGAACCTAATACAAAAAGGGCACATAGATCCTGGGTTTGCAGGGGGAGAAATCAGATTAGCTTCATTACTTTATTCTGCACCTCACAGCGCTTCTGCCAGTGGACAATTACATTAGATCAGAAAGGAGCTCAAAAGGCAAAATCTTCCTGGAACGCCGCTTTTCATTGTCTTATTGGTCGTGAGGTGTGGAGGTGGGGATAATTCATGCAGATGGAGGCCACATCCACCATTGCTAACAAACAGGTTTGGGATAAGCCATTACTTTAGGAAGAGGGTCTGTAAGAAAGAAAGGAAAAAACGTTACTGCTTCATCTGCTCAAACTGAGAATCTCATGGAAGCGTTAGCCTTCACAGCAATACATTCCCTCAAAATTTGGCCACACAACTTTATTAACTCATTGTGCATTTTTGTAGGTGTGTAAATTAGCATTTGTGTAAGTTAGCATTTAGGTGTGTAAGTTAGCATTTAGATCCTGATGTTGGGAAAGATGGAGGGCACAAGGAGAAGGGGACGACAGAGGACGAGATGGTTGGATAGTGTTCTCGAAGCTACCAGCATGAGTCTGACCAAACTGCAGGAGGCAGTGGAAGACAGAAGTGCCTGGTGTGCTTTGGTCCATGGGGTCACGAAGAGTCGGACACGACTAAACGACTAAACAGCAACAACAAGTTAGCATTAAATAAAATAATTATATCGTGTCCCAAAAGGAAACAGGCCTATCTTGTTAGCTGTGGTACTGGTCTTACCAAGAAGAGAAAGGTCACATGGCCCACAATACACAATAGTTTGTACCGCAGAGTACGGCTGGAAACCTGTGACCAAATAATTGTGGGACTTAATTCTGACTAGATTACAAAAATAATCTAAATTTATAACCCATTGGCTTAGTAGATACAGTGCTCTGATGCTTCCAGCTGGGAGCCATACCATAATCAGAGCAAATCCAGTTCAATAAACAAATGACATTAGTATCCCATGTCTAGTATGAGAAGTGACTACTCATGGGAAAAACACGACAAGCTTTGTGTGGAAAAATGCCACCTTGTGAGATTGTTATTTAGTCTTTGGCTATTTGGTAAATGTATAGCCTTTCCACCACATACTATTCAAAGTGGCTAGCTACAATAAAATACAAATGCAAAAAAAAAAAAAAAAAAAATCCTCACAAAACCCCCCAAAAGAACAGGTGAGGTAAAATACATTAATAAGACTAATTTTTTTTTAAAGCTTTCCTTTAAAAAAGAATGGCCACAATCAATCAGATTGTGATGATGATTTCATTTATCAATCTCTTCCTATGAGGCATTTCAAAACATATCATATGAGGCCGAAGTTCTATTTCAATAAAAATGCCTATGGAAGATAGCTAGGGAGAGAGAGGGTTAGGCAGCAGTTCCAAAGCCTAGCAGCAGAAACAAAAAATGTCATCAACTTTTTTGCGAAAGGTGCTTCAGATATTGGTGGGACAGACAGAAGAGCCTCTCTGATGGGTCTTAAAACACACTGGCCGGTTCATATGAGAGAATAGCATATTTCAAATCTTAATTGTAATGGCCAACACTTAGAATCATGCCTGAAAACTGACAGGCAGGCAGCAAAGATGTGATAATCTGGGAGTCACATGCTGGCTTCAGTTAATTGTCTGGTTGCAGCTTTCTGAAGCAACTGGAGTTTCTATTTTTTTTTTTAAATCATATTTATTAAAGTTTCCAAAAATATAAAAATACAAAGAAAAAAGACAAAAGAAAAAAGATATTTAAAAACCTTACTTTCATTCCCTACTTTCTGGGACTCCCCCCCCCCCAATTGTATTCCCCTTTCCTTAATTTGGTTCTACAAGCTCTCACTCCCAATTTAAAGCTTAATTTGTTTAACCCACTATCCAGATTGAATTGTACAAATCTTACCACCGTCCCACATCATTAACAGAAAAAGAAAAAGATTGTCCCCAAGATCCACCCCAGGTCCTTCCACACATTCCCTTTTTTTTAAAACACGTCCAATCAAAGTAAAATAACATGCGTAAGTTATGTAAAGAAATAGAAAATAAGAGATATAGAAAAATTCAAAAAATGGTTACACAGCCTTTGGATTTCAAATCCCCCGGTTTGAATTCCCCATGTCCATCAGTCTATACATTATCAGCTTGGAAGTCTCATTTCATGACCAGATTTCTCCCCGATTCCATCTTGCCGGTTTTCTTTTAGTTTATTAATTTAAATAATGTTTGACTTCAAATGTCCAATCTAACAAAGGCCTTTAATTTCCTTGATCTTTACCACTCCTCCCGTTGTTCTTTCCGTGTCGTAATCAGTCCTTTATTCTTCTTATTCCTCACTTTCTCAGGTTTCTTGTCCTGTTCAGCTGCTAAAACTTTCTAATTCAGAAATCTAGTGTCTCTGCAGAGGTTTGTTATTCAGGAACAAAACTTACGTCCAGTCCCTTTCTTTCTTCAATAAAAATTCCATTGTCTTCCTCTGTAGACAAAATACTCTTTCAGTTTTGCAGCTTTCCCAGAAGATAACAAATCCTGTGCGAATCCCAGGGTATTTTTCCACTTACGACCGTTCTTGTAGTATCCCGAAACCCCTCTAGGGGATGGTAATAACTTTGTATCCTCTAATCCAAAAGTCAAATTGTTGCTTATTTTCCAACAGTTTATATCCATATTATAGCAAATTGTAACAAAATTAACCAGCAAGGTCCTCATAAAGTCCTCTTTATATTCTCCAGCTTTGACAGCCACTTTGACAGCTGTCAAAGTCTCCGTCTCTCTTCACCAGGCTCCACGAATCGCCCCGGTTCCCAGGGGGGGGGTTGCATTTTTCTTCTCACCCTCCACTCTTCTCCTCCAGCACATTTCTTATAATTTCCCATCGTGAAATTAATGATTTTTATCAGAGACATACTTCCCTTTGGACCTTGGTTACCCAGTCCTTGTTTTGGAATGCTTACAATAGGGGGATTGACTTCCTTTTAAATCGCCCCGCTCGTGCCAAATCCAAAATTTTGAACCCGGTTTCCCAATTACTCACGGGTTGTTGTTAATAGTCCAAATTTTCAATAGAAGAAGTCAGCGCTCTCCGTCGAATGGCATGCGGCTGCGCTCGGCAGGGAAAGCAGTGGACTCAAGCACCACGCCACTCCCCGGCACCCGATCCGAAGCCTTTAAAAGGCTCCTTCACGAGTCGGGAGGGCGCTAATGGTGCAAGCCGAGTCACCCATGTCCACGGACTCCATGCCCGTGGTTTTTAAGGGTCCCCGCGTCGCCGGCGCGGTAGGACCCAGCCCCTGCCGAGCAGACTCCCTCCGGAGCTCGGAGGGAGTCCGCCATTCGGCGATGGCGCTAACCCGGAAGTAGCAACTGGAGTTTCTAAACACTCTTCAAAGGCAGCCCCATGCAAAGCGTGTTGCAGTAGTCCAAACAAGTTATAAACTAAAGCATGTCATTGTGGCCAGATCTGGTAGGGACAGGTGTAGTTTGTGTACTGTCCTTAGCTATGCAAAAACACTCCTGGCCACTGCCACACCCTGGGGTTCAAATTGCAGGCCTAAATTGAGGCGTATATCCTAAACCATTTGCACCCCATCCAAAGATCTGCCTTTCTACTGAATGAGAACATGTCTATCTTGTTCATATTAATCGTCAGTTTGTTTGACTTCATTGATTGCTATGTGGGAGGGTGGAGGGAATTTAACCAGCAAGTTCTCTTAGATAGGATAAAAACCAAACCAGTCTCAGAAACCCTTAAAAAGGAGGGAGATGAAATCGCTGAGGAGGAAGCAGAACAGCAAAACAAAGACAAGACAGCTCAAGGCAGTCAATAGCACAAATAATTCAAGAAGAATAAGGAACCATTTTTCCCCTCTTCTCCACCGACACACACAAAAATCTATATTGTAAAATATTACTGACAAGAACGTCTGTTTTACAGTCTATCAAATCATTTCAAAAAGCCTTTAAAGGGCGAGATCTCTCTAGTAATTTCAAGGGACATCAATATCTGCAGATTTTATGCTGTGTCTGATAAACCCACTTGAGCTGAGAGGGATGCCTGAGTGCTGGATTCCTTCCTCTACATTCAGGGGTTTTGAACCTGCCGCCTGACAGCTGCATTCTTGTGGCTGAATTTAAGGCGAGTATCAGGGAAAGATCAAAGGGAGAGAAGAGTGAAAGGGGGGGGGGAACAGAGATAAAAGTCGAAAGAGTGGTCCTCATCCCTCTTCCCCCAGAAGCCTATTGGGCAGGTAGGAAGTGGAATAGGGAGGTAGGGGGCTGTCAGAAATGGGGAGAGAGAGAAGGCGGCATAAGAAAGAAAGAAAGAAAGAAAGAAAGAAAGAAAGAAAGAGGCTCCATCTGTACATTTTAAGCAAAAGGATACTACTTTAAAAGTAATGGCTTCCACCAAAAAAATCCTGAGAATTTGTAATTTGTTAAAGATGTTGAGAATTGTTAGGAGACCCCTATTTCCCCTAACAGAGTTACAATTTCCAGAATGCCCTGGGAAGAAGTACTGATTGTTAAACCATCCTGGGAATTGTAACTCTGTATGGGGTCTATGCCTGTTGTCTTTGTCCATGGAGTTTTCTTGGCAGGGATACTGGAGGAGACTCTTGAGAGTCCCATGGACTGCAAGAAGATCAAACCTATCTGTTCTTAAGGAAATCAGCCCTGAGTGCTCACTGGAAGGACAGATCCTGAAGCTGAGACTCCAATACTTTGGCCACCTCATGAGAAGAGAAGACTCCCTGGAAAAGACCCTGATGTTGGGAAAGATTGAGGGCACAAGGAGAAGGGAACGACAGAGGACGAGATGGTTGGATAGTGTTCTCGAAGCTACCAGCATGAGTTTGACCAAACTGCGGGAGGCAGTGGAAGACAGGAGTGCCTGGCATGCTCTGGTCCATGGGGTCATGAAGAGTCGGACACAACTAAACAACCAAACAACAACAACAATGGGGTCTATTAAAAGCTCTGAGCACTCCTAACAAGTTCCAGTTCTCAGGATACTTTGTGGAACGCCATAACTGTTTAAAGTGGTATAATAGATCTTTAAATGTACAGTGCAGATGAGGCCAAAGGCAGTCTTGTGGTCACAAGGTTGTGTCCCTGGCAGATTACTCCCAAGAGAACACAGCTCCTGACATAGAAGAGGTTCCCAACCATCCCTGATCTAGAAATTCCCCTCACGTGCCCATCCTTTCCTGTTTCAGAAAAGGAGCCCATTGCAAATCCCTTCCGTTTCCTTGCCCGTTAACTTCTGAGCTGACAGAATATGAAACAGGGTTTAAAGGCGAGATGTTCTGACAAGGAGAATTCCTTGTTTAAGAGCTCTAGTCGTGAGGCACCCTTAATTAAAAATTGTATTGATTTCTCTCTTCCCTCCCTACTTCCTACTCCTAATGACAGGCACTGCTCTGGAAGTCCCATTGTTAGTCCGGTTGACAGTTTAAGTAGTGAAACAAAGGGCATTTACACAGCACTTAGTGCAAAATTATTACTGATTAAAAAGTGATTTATCATGGTAATGGTATCTGCTTAGACTTTGGTGTATATAACACACACACGCGCACACATGAACGCACACACACACACACACACACACACACAAATGGAAGTGAAGAACAACAAAAGAGTGCCCCATTCACTTGATTCCGGATCCTTAGCCGGATGCAGTTGTTGATGGTAGAGATTGCTCACTAGATTTCAGAACAGTCTCTGAGAGCCAAGGTGATACTGTAAGGTACATACTAGGTACTCCCCTGCAAGCATATGCAGCAGTAGCCAAGCACAGCCCTACCACTGGGCAGAGTGAGGCAAGTACCTCCAGTGGCAGAGGCTAGGGAGTGATAGCGAGGTGATGGAGGGTAGAGCTGTGTGTGCCGTGCCCCCTGCCCCCTTAAGCTAGCCTCCTCAGAACAGGTTCAACTGCTAGTCTGTACATCAACAATACTGAGATGGACCAGTGGTCTGTGTAGGCATAAGACAGCTTCCTATACTCATATTTTGCATTCCATTGCTAAGTCCTGGCTCAGCCCAGCCTTTCTACCTGTTTTCTACTACTTCTTACATTGGGAGGCCAACACAACAGCCTCTTTGATACCAAAGAGGAAAAAGGGAATGGGATCAAAACTGATACATCAATTAAACCATCATGGCTTTCTCTTTTTGCCACATTCTTTTTATTCTACTGTATGCCAAGGATGGGAGCCCTGTAGCACTCTGGACGATGTTAGGCTCCGACTCCAGTTGGCTTCAGCCAACAATGTCCAGCAATCAGGGATGATAGACGTTGTAGTCAAACAACATCTGGAGAGCCACAGCTTTCCCATCCCAGACATATGAAAACAATTGCCTCACTTTGCTTAAAGAAGCAACAATCCACACAGCTGGATGCAGATAATTTATCACACATATGGGATTTGGGTTCATTCAGTTGACTAGGCTTAGTACTTCTCTTGCTAAGGTGGCCGACATGTGACATATATACTACTTCACAGGCTCTGGCCCAAGACAGGAGGACTATCCATGCCAAGTCTGGTTTAAAGATAAATAACAATAAAAGGAAGAGCCAGGGCTCTGAAGTTGCCCACTGACCATTAGCACCTGCCTTGCAGACTTAGCAGGTATGCAGGTCACCTGATCACAGTATTTCCCACTATGCTGAGATGTACCGTATTTTTCGCCCCATAAGGCGCACCGGCCCATAGGACGCACCTAGTTTTTTGGGGGGGAAATAAAGAAAAAAAAATCCCCCCCCCGGCACGAGGCTGGGGCGGGAAGCTGTCCCCCGAGCTTGTGGGGCTGGCGGCGGGGAGAAGCAGGCTTCTCCCACCGCCAGCCTTCAAACTAGGTCCGGGGACAGCGGGAAAGGCGCGCTGCGCCTCTCCCTCTATCCCCCAAGTTTGCGGGGCTGGAGGCGGGGAGAAGCAGGCTTCTCCCGCCGCCATCCTTCTAACCAAGTCGGGGGACAGCGGGAAAGGCACGCTGCGTCTCTCCCTCTATCCCCCGAGTTTGCGGGGCTGGCGACGGGGAGGAGCAGGCTTCTCCCCGCTGCCAGCCTCCAAACCAGGTCGGGGGACAGCGGGATGGCGGCGTTCCGCCTCCCCGCTGTCCCCCGAGCTTGTGGGGCTGGCGGTGGGGCTCTCCAGGCTTCAGCGAAAGCCTGCATTCGCCCCATAGGACACACACTTTTTGGAGGGGAAAAAGTGTGTCCTATAGGGCAAAAAATACGGTATTTCATCCCCTTCTTTGGTGATGCATTCCCCCACCCCACTCTTCCTAGGACGGATCCACTAGTAGCACACTGTAATTATGTACATTTTGTATGTGCTGAAGAAAGTAGCTGTATAAATGACAGCTAATTATGAAGAACTCTCCTGGGCATTAGTATCATTCTACCTGACTACTTTTAATGCTGTATACCTAGGCAGCTATTGCAGCAGTTCATTTCACAAGAGAATTATACTGCTGACCCTTCAGAATTAATTTACAGAAAAGCATAGCAATCCTCAGTGTAATGGAACAACCACCCATTATTTCAAAAATAAAATGGGGCACAATCCGGCCACCTGTAAGTTGCTTTGAGTCCCCTGGAGATCAATGGGAAGAGATGAGTGCTTGACTTATAGTTATTTTTCCTTTGTATTATCTCCATTTATCCAGGAAACTTTCAAGTGATGTTACAGATATCCACTGTGAACCAGCAAACACAGGTTTGGGATTGATTGATTAATTGATTTACAATATCTATGCTGGGGTCACCAACATGGGTGTCAAGTGAGCCTGCTAGTATCTGTTTTCATATTATTGTGTGTTGGTGGCGAGGGTCAGTCTGTATGCTGTCCCTTCTATTTCCTGGGATCCTGGATCCAGCAAAGGTTAAAATCTAGAGGAGGATTCCGTTGTTGAACTAGTCAGGCAAGTTTCGTTGTGAGTTGACATATGTCCGGAATATCCTGAACATACTCAGATTACTGTAGCCCCCCCCCCAAAAAAAATAGCTTAACAACTTTCCCAAAATAAAGCAAAAGCTCAACAACTTTTCTGTCCGGATTTTCACTTTTTGAAACATGGCAACCCTAGAGTTAATAGACCTAGGTATCATCATTAGATGAAGCTGATAGCTAGAGAGACTGAACCATTCTTGATTTCTGCTGGAATCCAAAGCTATGGGGGAAGCAAGACTTCAAATAAGAGCAGATTTATTTTTATTTTATTTTTAAAAAACATTAACATTAAGATTAAAATACAGAGACAAGGCAAATCAGATTAGCACAGTAGGCCAAATAACTGTTTCAATAAAGTAGAAGTTTCAACAGCATAATATTACGACAAAAGTTACGGTAAGTAAAATGCAATAAAGCAATCTAGTTATTTTTGCACTGTTTTAAAAACTATTTTAGACACCCTTATATGTTTGCAAATCATATTGGCATGCATGTAAAATGCAAAGATTTGTTGCTGTTGTTAACAGTAGTAATATTTCTGAAGCAGGAGGAAAAGTCATGCCCTTTTAAATACAAAAACCTACTCTTTTCCCTGTGACTTAGCAATGTACAACACTGAATCAAATAGTGCAAAAATCTACGGCCCAGGCATGCCCTCCAAGTGAATCTATGCGATCTGTTTTGACATAGCTGAAATCCAATTTATATTACCAAAGGATCTGGCAAAGTCCTTTAAATTTGGCATCAAGATACTAAACAGGATCTAAACCAAATGAAACAGCCAAATTGTTCATGGTGGCAATAAAACCTGCACATTAATCTTGAGTTTCAGGACAAAACAAATGTGCCATAAAAGGACCAAAGACAACAATAAAAAGGAACAAAAAGAAGCATCAATTAAATATAATAGGTTTTTTTTAATAAAGAAAAACTAAAATAGCAAGCACCGCAATGCCTCGCAACAGTAGGAACGAGAGTGCAGGTGAGATCTTTGCCAGAGTCAAAGCCCTGCTGCCTGTGCTGTGATCTTTCAGACTAATTTTCTTAGCAGTCTGCATCTTTCCCCCCCCTTCCTCGTTGACAGACTGCGGCTGTGCTAGTGAAGTGGCATTTATTGCATAAGCAGGTGTCCTAGTGGAGATGCAGGTGTTCTCTCCTCATTCTGGCATAATCTAGTCCTATGGGGATAAATAAAGTTGCTTCTCTGTAGAAAATATTTTCTACGTGCCCTTGAAGACAATGCTTGAAATTCTAAGCGCCTGATTATGCAATGGCATCTGAATGGAGCTTGGCCACCTGAGTGCTGATTTCAAGCAAGGGAGCTGTGAATTCGCAAAGTGTTAGCCAAAGGCTAAAGTTGCAGTCCAGCACTGTGATGCGCAATTAACCAGTGCAATCCTATGTGCACGGAATGACGTATTACAGTATACAGTGGTACCTTGCGTTAAGTAATTAATTCATTCCGGAGGTCCGTTCTTAACCTGAAACTGTTCTTAACCTGAAGCACCACTTTAGCTAATGGGGCCTCCTGCTGCTGCCGTGCCTCCAGAGCATGATTTCTGTTCTCATCCTGAAGCAAAGTTCTTAACCCGAGGTAATATTTCTGGGTTAACGGAGTCTGTAACCTGAAGTGTATGTAACCTGAAGCGTATGTAACCCGAGGTACCACTGTACACTGGTGTTTATTCTCAAGCGTCCATATGGTTGCATCCTGAAGCAACAAGCCTACGTAGACTGCATGATTAATGTAATATTTAATTTGGCTCTAGACTTGGCTCTAGACAACAACTTCCCTAGTTGTTGATGGCTGAGTAAGAGTACCCATTTCCCTCTGCAATCGTGGGGAGTGGTAATTGCAGCCTCCTTGGCCATGGAAAGCATGCACTTCGTCCTCCTGGTCATGGCATGAAAGGAGGGGTCACTTCATGCTCCTCTGATTGCACTAACAGCTGGGAATCACTTGCAAGGCTCAGTAGCCAATCGTAGGTGCTGAGGAGGTGCAGCTTTGGAGCAGACCTGAGAAAGAACTTCCTGTCTCTGGTCTGATCCCTGTTCTGGGGTGCAAGTGCCCTCGGTGGCATGGAGGGCCTTCCACAAGCTTCAGCTGGTAGCCCAGCTCTGACATCATCTGGGTACAGTCTGGCTTTAGTCGTCTACGCTCTGGTAACTTCCAGGTTAGACTATTGCCATGCATTGCACATGGGGCTGCCTTTGAAGATGGCCCCTATATGTAGAACTGTCCATGTTTACACAGCACAGAAGTTAAGGCAACATCCTTTGGTGTATGTGGATTGGTTCCAATTGTTCTATGAAGCTGAAAGGCTTTTGTTTTTTGGTCTTGAAATATTTTACAGCATGACCTGAAGTGACACTTTATTATCTTATAGGAGCGAGCAGATAACAAGCAATGAGTCTTAGTATCTGACAACATTTAATAGACAAAATGCAGCGGTAATTAGTATTTGAAAGTTGAGAGCTTATGAAGTTTTGTGACTGGAACCTGGCAAAAGAAAAACACACATCAGAATCTGGAAAGCAGAGCAAAAGGGGTCACATTCAGACCACAAATGTGAGTTCAGGATTCAAAATTCAGAATTCAGAATTTGAACAGTGGGAATAGAAAATTTGTAAACATACATCTCAGCCTTCAGCACTGAAATGTAACTTACATAAAAGGCTTTGCACATGCTGCTAGATCTCCATAAAAGCCAATTGTTAACAACATGAACCCAATTCCCCATTCTGTCCACCTTAAGTGTGCTTTCCCATCCTTGCTGAAAACAAGGATGGTATTCTTTTCCATCCAACAAAAGTCCCCCCCCCCCCTGCAATTCATCATCATATCCTACACTTTGGCTCTTTGGTTTATAATAGGGAATGTTAGGATTTGTCCATAGGAAGAGAAGGCGGCAGATATACTTTTGCCTAATGTCCTCTTTCCTGTATCTCATGAGTTCCCATGTGAGCAGCTGGAGGTAATGAAAGGTAGGAGAGAAGCGGCTTGATAGGATTACCTAGGAATTAAACCCATTCTTCTCTACCTTGCTTCCCCAGCTCCCCCTTCTATGAGGGTTTTTCTTAATAGGCTTTTGAGCGAGAAGACAGAAGGAAGGAGTAGAGGGCAACTTGCATTGTGGCAGATTGGAGCAAAAGTAAAAAACTGCCCAGGCTGGGGGCAGGAAGGAGAAAGCCTTCTTTCCGATGGTTGCTAATGGCCTGCGGAGGAGCTGCACAGCAGTCATTTCACAGATAGTATGGCAGGTCACCGCGACAGATGTTCCCAGCATATGTGGAGAATTAATTACCCACTAGTAAACAAAATCTGTGATGCGGAGAGTCATTTTATCCAAATTTCTTTCGATTTTGCTGTTATTAGGAGCTTAATTTTTCTTGATCAGCCAGGCTCTCTTGAATTAAAGCGTTCCTTAATGGGCTGCGCCGAACGTTTTCTGAAGTAAAGTGTGGAGCGAAAGTGGTAAGGAGGAGGGGGCTGGGGCGAGAGAGATGAGTTTAACTGGAGATGAGTTGATTGGGATGCCACAGTGAGCGATTAGGAAATTATTTGATTAAAAGGCTGGGTACTGTTCATATAGGATTTTTTTAAAAAAGTATTCTTACAGCCAACCTGTATCCAATAGCATTTTCACTCCATTTGCTGCGTATTATGAAACAGCTGGAGCCCAGGGGGTACATTATAATGTTTCAAGAGGAAGGGCTTTGGAAGGGAAAATGGCTGCATTTTCATTCGCTGTCAATATTCGGATGTGTTAATGTCGGGGGACCATATTGTGCCATTGAATTTTAAGCAAAACTCTATTTAAATCCACGATGAAATTGGGTTAAAAAAAAATCAATGGTGGTAATAAAGGCCTTGCAACATTAGAATACTATTCATATGTTCATGACCCAGATAGTGGAGCAACAAGGCCAGGAACCACATGCTATTTCTCACACACTTCCAACCCACTCCTTATGGTGAAGTAAAGCATGGATAGAAGCAGATTGTCAAGGGACAATGAGAACTGAATGTTCTGAGGCAAAGGTCATTTTACAAGTGTGAGTCTCCTTCATTCTATGGAAAGGATGCAGTTGTGTTCTCAGTCCTCTAAGCAAATTTGCACACGATCTCTCCATTCATGTGCTGAACTTCTGTTTCCCCAAGAACACGATTCTTCTTCTGAATTGCTGTGTTGTCCATGTTTACTCTTGTTTGGCACCACCATGTAATGCTTGCTGAGTGCTTGACGCAAAACAATGTGCCGAATCTCCACAAAATGGATGTGGGTAGTTGGCCATATTTGACTTTGAAGGTGATTATGGAGTTGAAATCTGTGGCTCTTATCAGTGCTGTATCTGCATATTCTAAGGTATTCATTTTCATTACCAACACTTGTTTGATACATTCTTTGGCGTTAAATACAATCTATACATCATCTTATAATAAGTTTCTTTCAAGCCATAATGTGCTGTAAATCTTATATCTGTTTTCCAAAGCTTTTCCCAGGCAGCAATATCTATCTTGTGTCCAACATCTTTTGCCCATCATTGTTGTTTTAACCATTTCATCCTTCGTTTCCCATGCTAGCAACAGTTTATACGTTTTGGAAATTAATTTCTCATTGTTTTCATGCAAACTAACTTCAAAGTATGATCGTTGCTCAGCAAATCCATTCTTTAAATCCTCTTTATAAATTTCATTTAATTGGTGATATTGAAACCAGTTGCTCACTAGGTTTCGTATTTCATTAAATTTTCAAAGCTTACATTCATTTTCATGGTTACGACGGCGGCTCTGATCCAGCTGCTGTAAGCAGAGCCTGCAATTTTGTGCCTACTATTCTACTTGCTTCCTGCCCATTACCACTTGTGTCAAGTTAGCCAGAGGGCCTGGTTACCTTCCCTCCATCAGAAGGAAAAGGAAAAAACCAAAATCCACTACTGACTGACGGGGGGGGGGGGGGCAAGTTAACTTGGGAAGGGAAGTGTGGTACTCCTGCAGTGCTCTTAGGTAACTGTAAAGCTTTTTAGGGTTTCTCACTGGTTAATCAACTGAAACGGTAGTTGACTAATCTACCTAATAAACCTTATTTAACAAGCTAGCAATTCTATACCAACAGAAGTGAAGGACAGTGAAATTTCATCCAGTATTTTAACACTCCTTTGGCTGAAAGATCACCCAGAAGAGATAGAGAGACCCAGCAGCATGAAGGCTGGTACAAATCATAAGACACTTAGTTACAGCAGTGATGAAGAGAGGAAACAGCATGCCTGAAACCAAGGATACTTTTTATTTTATTTCTTGCTCTACTTATTGATTTCCTGTCTCTGTTTTTACAGGCTTGACCCATCGCAGGAAACACAAAATTCCTTGAATAAAAAGGGATTTGATATATAACACCAGCTTGGGTTATATTTCTACTGCTAGAGTCCACATATTTATACGGGCAAAAGCTTATTGCACCTGCTTCCTCCGGCATGCTCATTTTAGGGAGTTACAAAGAATCCATCACCCTATCTCTCAGTATAGAATCGTCAAAGGCAATTTAGATGTTCATGATGAAATTCTAGCTTACTGGTTTCAAGAAGCCAATGAGAACGTTGCTGTTGGTGGCATTGGGTGAGGATTACTATTTAGTTCAGTGTAGCCTAGGAAGCTGCTTTATAAGGAGTCAAACTATTGGTCCATCTAGCTCAGTACTGCCTGCACCGATTGGCAGCAGTTCTCCAGGATTTTTGACAGGGATCTTTCCCAGCCCTACCTGAGGATTCAATCTGGGATCTTTTGCAAGCCAAGCAGATGCTCTTGTGGCACAGGCAGAGTTAGGGAAGCACAACTGGTTTGCCCACACTGAGTGCCAAGCCAAGAGGGAATCACAGCAGTCGCAACAAGAATGACTTAGAACAAGAAGTGAAAGCTGGGGAGCACCGAATTTTGGCATCGCAGGAGACACAGATGAAATGTAAAAACACAAGGCTTCTGGTTCCGCTCTGCCTTAATGGAGGCAGCCCAGGTGGGAGATCATAGGTGAAGGAAAAACTAGGATGACTGAGGGTAAATAATCCTTGCAAATCTCCCCCCCCCCCCCGGGACAGGGAGAAAGCAGTGTGTCTTGGTACCTGGCTCTCACTCCAGCATGCAATGTGTGGGGCAGGGAGGTGCTGGGTGCAAAAGCACTTCACCTGGTGAAAACCCTCCAACGCCGTCATTAAGAAGCAGAGGTTCTCCTGCTAATTAGAGCTTAATTGGACTAAAGGACACGCATGTGCGAGAAGAGATGAGATCACAAACTGTGGAGCAAACCAGCTGCATGACTTTAAGGTTTGAATTTGAGATAAGACTTCATTCAGTGCAAAAGACGTGGGGAGGGAGGGGAGTCTATGGTATCTTTATTTAAACTTTTCTTCTTTACATTTATGATTCAGCAACCCTCCTCTGAATGTTAGTTCAAATTATATTTGTACAAGTGAGGGTGGACGAAATTGGATTATAAATATGGAGTATAACATCAAATGGAACTGTGTATGTAAAAAAAATAGGGAAAAGGGAGCAAAGCTCTATTTTGCAAAAGGTTTACTTAGAGCTGACTCTTCCTCATCCTTTATTATGTTACAAAGTGAACTGAATAACGCTAAGAGAACTTGGAATTTAATTTAATTGGAAGGATAATCAGCTGGAAGGAAGGATGAAAGGAGTCTGTGAGCTGCCAAGGAACTGATAAGATTATTTACTGAGTCATCTGCAGTTCAACAGACTGCTCTTCTTCCCAGGCTGAGAGAAAAAATGGTGACAACAGTTTATTTACTGGGACAGAGTGACTTTTGCAGCTGTCATTAAAGTTCTCAGTGCAAAACAACGAAGCACTGGATGGAGATATGGAGAAATTTCTGGAACAACAATGGGATATCAGCTTCGCCCAAGGCATGATGGATAACAGCAAATCGGGGGAAAGAAAGACATAACATCTTAGAAGGACAGGAAGAAACACCATGGGCATAATAATTGCCACACACAGGAAGAACAAAGATATAGTTTGAGTTCCTCACTTGAAATTTTATAACTCATTTAATGTGTCAACACGAATAGAAGTTGTTAATATTGCATTTGTTGTATAAGGGATAATTATTATGACTGGAATGTAATTGATTTTGGAACACAGAAATAAAATAAACCATCAAATCATCAAATCTAGCATGCAGGTGGCCACTTTAACTAAATTGTATAATTCAATACTTGAATGAATGGTATTAATAATTGTATTATAAATTTGTATCGTTATAATGAGACTATTATTGGACTGTAATTGAAAACTAATACAAAATTATTCAAAGAAAAGAAAAGAAATTTGAAAACGCAAAGTCTGCTTCTGGAAGGTTGCCTGGAAGAGAATGTGCCCCTAGGGCTAAAAAAAAAAAAAATTCCCACCCCTGTTCTAGTGGGGACATGGAAATATTTAGAAGAGCAGATGATCTTCACAATAGTCCTGTGGGCTTTACCTGCCTGCTCTCCTCCTCTGTAGCATGGAAGCATCTCAGTGCACGGGAAAGAGACTTTGAAGTTGGCTAAGATGTAAATTTGAAGTGATTTGGAGGAGGACAAGCACCTCCTCCTGGTCTGCCAAAATGACGAAATGATGGTTGCCCTGCCACTATTTACTCCTCTCAAAAGTAATATAAACGATTAGGTGTAAGTCAGATGGTAGAAAAATGCCATGCCAGCAAGTTAGGGAGAGAGCAATGTAAACCAAGCAGTCTACCAACACTCAGAGGTCATTAACTGCCCCCCCCACAGGTAAGGTAGGCTGTCCCCTGGATTCTCTTAAGTGCTGCTTATGCCCAGAAAATGCTTAGTTCAAGAAGCATCTTGTATGGACTTCATCTGCTCTCATTTATTATTCCCAGCAATAGATGATTAGACCAATTCTCTGATTAATCAAAGGCTCACTTTGTCACCAGCTGTGTGAGACCAGAATTTTAAATCAAACGCCAAAGGCTGGAGCAGAACAATCCCGAAAAAAATTAATTTTTTGCAAGAAATATTTAGCAAATAAAGTCTAATTTTATTTTCCACTCAAAGTTCGTTTCACAGCCAGGCGTCATTTATCCCATAATTGTCCACTTCAGTTCCTGACACACAACCCCCTCCCTGTTTGCTTCTACAGAAACACTTCATATTGCTAACTGCTGGAAAGAGCATGCCTGCGTATCCTATGTGTGCAATTTTCATGTGGGGACTCAGTTCTTTTCGTCTAAACACATTTTGCAAAATCTCTTTTCTCTTTCTTTCTTTCTTTCTTTCCTTCTCGCCCTTCCCTATCTCCACCCTGTGTGCCCATCTTTGCCTCTCCCAATCTTTCCTTTTTTCTTCCAATGTGGACTTTGTCTACAGCAGGTTTTTGGTTGTTGCTGATGTCGTTTACATTTGGATTGGGGATGACGACATAGAATTTATATACAGTGGTACCTCGGGTTAAGTACTTAATTCGTTCCGGAGGTCCGTACTTAACCTGAAACTGTTCTTAACCTGAAGCACCACTTTAGCTAACAGGGCCTCCTCCTGCCGCCGTGCCGCTGGAGCCCAATTTCTGTTCTTATCCTGAAGCAAAGTTCTTAACCTGAAGCTTTATTTCTGGGTTAGCGGAGTCTGTAACCTGAAGCGTATGTAACCCAAGGTAAAGGTAAAGGGGACCCCTGACCATTAGGTCCAGTCATGACCGACTCTGGGGTTGAGGCGCTCATCTTGCTTTATTGGCTGAGGGAGCCAGTGTTTGTCCACAGACAGCTTCCGGGTCATGTGGCCAGCATGACTAAGCCGCTTCTGGCAAACCAGAGCAGCACATGGAAACGCCGTTTACCTTCCCACTGGAGCAGTACCTATTTATCTACTTGCACTTTGTGCTTTCAAACTGCTAGGTTGGCAGGAGGTAACCCGAGGTACCACTGTAATTTAATATACTTGTTAGTCACTTGTTACCTGAAGGGCTCCAAGTGACTTACAACATATTTAATACATTTATATTAACACATCATGCCACAAAAATGAATATGAAAATGGAACTACCCGCGTAATGGCCAGTTTGGCAGTTCACTAATAACAAAGCAAGGGCCTGAGGAAAAGAAGATAAGTCTTTTCCTGGAGCCAAAAAGATGTTAGTGAAGGCACCAGGGAGGCCCTGTTGGGGAGAGCATTCCACAGATGGGGAGCAACAACTGAACAGGCCCTCTCCCTTGTCAGCATCCTCTTAGCTTCCCTATGACGGGGTGCCTGGACTTATTAAATAATTGTAACAATCATACTGGGGTGACGGTCACAAATATAGTGATTTGGTTCATACCAGGGCGTGCAGGGCATCTGAACACTTATTTACAATAATTTTTATACCTCCTGCCAAAGCAAAAGTCTGCTCAAAGGTGATGAACTGAACTGATCTTTTGATTATTATTATTATTATCAACATTTTGTCTGCCTGCAATGCATCCGTGAAGTCTAGCAATGCCTCTTGCTTGTCTGGATGAGGGACACAAAAGTGTGGGTAGATAGAAACTAGCCTACAGCAGAAAGGTAACAATTTCATTCATTGCTCTGCCTGCTTTTGCCTTTGGCCCTGTTCACCATTCACCACTGGCATGTGGCCCTCAGAAGATTGCGCAGGGGAGAATGCGGCCCTCGGTCTGAAAAAGGTTCCCTGTTCCTGTACTATTCTGATGGGTAGCAACTCTCCAGGCTTTCAGGTCGAGGCCTTCCCCATAATCAGGTAATTACGTCTTTTAACTGGAGAAGCTGGAGATTGAACACAGAATATTCTGTATGCAAAGAAGGTGCATTAGCCCTGGGCTTCAGTAACTCCAATAAGCAATTCCTGAGCTAGCTGAACATTTTTTTTCAGTCAGGTAATACTTCTAGCTGTTCCTCTGCTTTTTCCTTTGGACTCTCCAGAATCCTATAGCTCTCTTTCTCTTTGGCGATCACTCATAGCCGAGTAAGATTGTCTTCCATAAACACTGTTTTAACAATAAATCCATAAGTGACTGTGGAGGCAATTCTGGATCCACACGTCCTTCCACAGTGGGGACATTGGTTTCCGGGTAGGAGTTGATCATGATGTGGATTTGCCAAGCGTGCCTTCCTTTTAGCATGTTTCTCCCTTGTGTCCTGAGTTCAAGTGTCTTCAAAGCCCATGACACCTTTGGTAAAGGCTGTTCTCCAGTTGGAGCACTGGCAGGCGAGTGTTTCCAATTGTTGCTGTTTATACAAAAAAATTGCCTTGAGACAGTCTTTAAACCTCTTTTGTTGACCACCAGCATTACGCTTTCCATTTTTAAGTTCAGAATAGAGTAGTTGCTTTGGAAGATGATCATCAGGCATCCACACAACATGTCCAGTCCAACGAAGTTGATGTTGAAGAATCATTGCTTCAACACTGGTGATCTTTGCTTCTTCCAGTACACTGGTATTAGTTCACCTATCTTCCCAAGATCACCGACTAATACGCTCCTATAGCATGACTCACTGAAGGAAAGCTTTATTGGAGAAACTATACTCATTTGCCCTCGTAGTTTTCTCCTTAAACAAGCAATGCAAGCTTACTTCATGCCCATGGGTTTTCCCCTCGGCTTTTTGATGTTGTGATCATTTATACACACATATTTACCAGAGAGGTAGTGTTTGTCCTGAACTTACATTCAGAACTTCATCCATAGGAATAGCAAGTGGTAGGCGGGTTACTTAAAGGATGAAATTATTTCCATTAGCAAGTTACCTAATGGCACTACACATTTCTAATTAGTCACAGGTTCAAATGATACTGTTATTGGTTTATGCTTCAGGGCATGAACAACCTTGAATTAACAGAATAAACTTATTATAAACTGGTAATTAAAGGTAATTATAAAGTAGGTTTAAGAAATCAAGTGATACAACTGGCTTATAAGAGAATACAGAGGATTGAGATTAATATTGTGCGACATAATTTTGGGCCTTGAAACTAAATTAATGTATATAATATTTAAATGCATTTTGTAAGAAAATTTTGTAATTGCGGGAAGACATTAAGGGATCATTCATGGCTTGTTGCATTGATGGTAATATTAATTCATGCTTGATATACCTCTTGATTATCATCAATATACAGCTAGACATGAATTAATTCACCTTGGTTCACACACTGTCATATTTGGGCTTCATTACTCTCAACTTTGCTTTGTATCCACTGACTTGGTTTGAAGGATCCTAAAATATCATGTTCCATATGTAAACAGGTACGTTAGAGCATGAATTCCCCTAAAAAACACTGGAGGAGATGAACATAATTTGAGAATAGGCCTTTAAAGTTTTTTCTAAAAAACATGAGAGATGGGACCTGCATAATATCCATAGAAATTGCATACTATAATAGGGGTACCACTGCCAGAAGGCCCTGTTTTGCATGTTGACCAGGCTAATCACTTTTACAGGCATGAGTTACAGCTGGTTCTCTGAGCTAGATGTCAAGATATGGGTACAATTATATGGGTGCAAGTGGTCCTTTAGGTAACCTGGTCCCAAGCCCTTCAGGGCTTTAAAGGCAATAACCTGCATTTTGATCTGGGCCCAGAAACACACTTTCAACCAGTACAACTGATACATAATGGGTGTTACATGTTATGGCTGCCTTGTCCCTACCAGTAATACAGTGGACCCTCTGGATACAAATTTAATTTGTTCCGGGGGTCTGTGTGCACCCCTAAGAATCCGTATCCAGAGGTGCCGCTTCTGCACACACGTGTGGCGTGATAGAGAGCTTCTGTGCATGCGCGAGTGGTGAAACCTGTAAAAATACTTCCGAGTTTGCCACTTTTGCAACCCGAAGTTTACGTTACTCAAGAACAACGTAACCCAAGAGTCTACTGTAACAGGGTGGCTGCATTTTGTACCAGAGCCATTCCCAAAGGCATGCACTGGATGTGACAGTGCACAGTCAACTGAGTTGTGATCTGACTTCTCTAGATAGGGTTGCAGTTGGTGCACTAGTCTAAGCTCCTACAAGGCACTCCTAGCCATCATCATGATCTGAGCTTCCCCAGTGAGCGATGAGTCCAGCAGTACCTACAACCTGCAAACTTGTTCCTTCGGAGTAAGTGCAACCTCATGAAGGACAAGCTACCAGTCCTTTCTCTGGGGTTTACCAGTTTCCCCACTTGCAACATGTCCAACATCCCCACCTCTGTATTAAGCTTTGTATTGCACCTTCCCATACATCTGAAAATGGCCTCCAAACACTGGTTTAGGAGCCTCTCTGAGATGGGTTGGTGGGAAGCAGAGGTAGAATTGAGTAATGTCTGCATACCAATGGCACTTCAGCCCAAGCTTTCAGATTATGCCTCCCAGTAGCTCCACGTAGATATTAAATAGCATGAGTTTCAGAATTTGAATTTGAACACCCCACAGACCAATGGTCATTGGGGGGAGAAAGGCTGCTCTCTCGTGATGACGTATCAGGAAGGACCAGAAACACTGTATATCACCATGACTCCTAAGCCCAGTCCAGATAACTGGCCCAAGAAAATGCCATGATTGGTGGCCGAAAATGCTGCTAAGAGGTCTAGGAGAACTCACTGGGTTGTAGTCCTTCTACTTACTGTATTCCCTGATGCAACCAACAGAGCAATCAAGGCTGTTTCTGTTCCATAACTAGGTCTAAAACTTTATTGAAATGCAACCAAATAATCCATATTATCCAGCACTGCCTGCAGTCAGGCCACTAAATATCGACATTAAACTAGAAGATTAATACTTAAGATCCTAAACATGTGTCCTCCGAAGTCCTACTCATTTTGATAGAGTTAGCCATTCCACAGGCACCTTTAATATTGCATCTTTATTTTAATTTTCAGTTTATGAGTCCTAATTTGCACGTGAATAGTGCCTTTCTCTCAAGTTATTAAGTTCTGAGTGTCCAGAAATTGGTGGTGGTGTGGGACAGGAGCAGAATCAGTGGCCTGAGTCAGTCAGTATTCTGGCAGCTTCTTACGTCATATGTTCACCACGGATGAATGCAGGTAAACTTTCAAACTTTGATTCAGTTCACTTCTAAGATTGATATGACAGCTTTGTACAGCCCATAACCTTGGAGAGCTTATAACAAACTCTGGTGAAAAAGGAAGGAAAGATGCTGAGTAATAGCCTATATAAAGAAGGCCAAGAGTCATTAATACTTTGCACAATAGCAAAACTGGATTTGCCACCAAGTATCAGTGTGCATGCTAGTGCCATCACACTATGCCTCTTAAAGTGTACACTCAAAATATCTTAGCAGTAAAATTGTAATGTGTGAATTGGCTGCAGAGATGCCTCTTTACCAAGTACGCTACCACCCTGCCAGCAATGATTGAACTTGATGCAATATTCTCAAGGACCATTTGAAAATATGAATGTGTTTTGTGCCAAACTTGGGTTGGATCCAGACTAAGCTATTGAGTCTAGGTTGCATTGATTTCAATGGGACAATTTATTAATGACTTCTGTAGTATTGGGGGACTTATATTCCATTGTTTTTATTATTACAGTGGTACCTCGGGTTACATACGCTTCAGGTTACAGACTCCGCTCACCCAGAAATAGTACCTCAGGTTAAGAACTTTGCTTCAGGATGAGAACAGAAATTGTGCTCCGGCGGTGCGGCGGCAGCGGGAGGCCCCATTAGCTAAAGTGGTCTTCAGGTTAAGAACAGTTTCAGGTTAAGAACGGACCTCCAGAACAAATTAAGTACTTAACCCGAGGTTATTGCTCAGATAAGTGTGAGGTCCGGCACGCTTCCCCCATCGCAGGCCTCTGCATTCCAAAGGGCACATTCCGATACTTCTGAGCATAGCAGAGTTCAACAGCGGCAAGAGGAAGCTGCAAAACACTCCAGTGCATTCTTCAGTGTGCTTAAATAAAGTCCACACAGGATCTTAGCAGCTAAAAGCAGTTTTATTTACAGCAGGCTATCCATTATCTATCACAGCGAACAGCATCGCGAAAACACGTCCTCTCTCCTCAAAAGCGAAAGCAGAGAGAAAGAACAAAGACTTGAGTCTCTCGGAACTGACGTAGAAGTTCCCTCCCAGCAGTAGGCAGAGCGTACACACTGAGCTGTTTAACCCTGTAAGCTCAGGTTCTCCTCACACCCCCTCTCGCTCTGCGCTACTGTGGGGACAGTAAGTACAGAACTTACCCCCAACTCCAAACCACCACAAAACTCCCCATGACGCTGGAAGCTTAAAGGTTTGGTAAATCCATCGGCCAGGTTACTGTGACTGGCACAGTACTTCAGTCGTATCAAACCTGACTGAACACTCTGGCACACATTTTGGAAACGTATGTCCAGATGCTTGGTTCTCGCCTTAAATTGCGCAGATTCAGCCAACTTCAAACAAGGCTGATTGTCTTCCCAAACCGTGATGGGCAAGCGACAATCCCCATAGATCTCTTGCACCAAGCATCTATAGAACTCTAGTTCTCGGCACAAATCTGACAATGCACTGAATTCAGCCTCAGTAGAAGACAGCGCAATGAGACTTTGCTTCCGGGACTTCCACCCAACTAGTGACTTCCCAAACTTTATCACCAACCCAGACACAGACTTGCGGTCCTGCGAATTCGCCCAGTCACTGTCCGCATAGCATGTGAGCTTCGCCTCACCTTCAGCTGGCAGCTTAAGACAGAAGTCTTTGGTATGCTGCAGGTAGCGCAGTACCCGCTTGATACCGTGCCAAGCACTCACACTGGGCTTTGACGCTTCCCTACTTAGCAGGTTGGTAGCAAAGGCAATGTCTGGTCTGCTCCATTGGGACAGATACAACAGACTACCTAGAGCTGACTGAAAGATCTCAGCATTCTCAAACTCAGCACTTTCTGCTTGCTGGCTATCTTTCACGAAGTTCGTCTCCATGGGTGTCCAAACTCCTGTACAATCGGACATTCTGAACTTCTCCAGCAACTGCTCAATCTTGCCTTTCTGACTGAGCAAGAAGCTACCATCCTCAGTTCTCGCTATCTGGACGCCTAGGTAGATCTTTACTGCACCCAGGTTCTTGAGCTGAAACCGTTTCCCAAGCTCTTTGGCAAACTTCTGCACCTGTTTGTCTGCCTTTCCAACATGGATGATGTCATCAACGTAAAACAACACCAGTTCTTGTGAGTCTCCTGATCCTCTAAGGAACAGGCAACTGTCAGCAAGACTCTTCCTGAAACCTAGCTTCTCCAAAGCTTCATTCAGGCACAAGTTCCAATTCCTGGCCGACTGCTTCAGGCCGTAAATTGACTTGTGAAGTTTCCACACAGTACCTCGCTCATTGCCCTCAAACCCTGGAGGAGGAAGCATGTACAGATCCTCCTGGAGGTCTGAGTTCAAGTAAGCAACATCCACATCAAAGTGATGCACCAGCAAACCTCTTTGTGCAGCGATGGCCAAGACCAAGCGTAGAGATTCACTCCTACACGTGGGCGCATAAATCTCCGTATAATGCAACCCCTCTGCTGCGTGAATCCTCTCGCCACTAATCTGGCCTTATACTGCGGTTCTCCTGCCGCTGTGGGCTTAAGACGGTAAACCCAGCGGCTACCCACTGCCTTTTCACCCACCGGCAACTTCGTGAGGGAGAACACACCTAGAGACTCCATTGAGTTCATCTCCTTCTGCATCGCCTCATGCCATTTCCTGGCTTCTTCCTGAGGCAGTTTCTGAACATCCTCAAAACTTTCGGGTTCACACTGTGCCATTCCGACCCACACGCTAGTGACGGCAAACCTTTCAGGAGGTTTCCCCTTGGTCGTCCGCGTGGAACGGCGCAGCACTACTTCAGGAACCCCCTCTGACCCACTAGGGCCAGCCAGAACGTCCTTGGCATCAGAGAGCTGCCCCTCTGACTTACTGCGCCTTCTGGACTTCTCAGCCGAACCTGTGGGGGAAGATGGAGCACTGCGTTGCTCACTCTTCACAGCCTTGGGAGAAGTTCTCCCCTCTGCCTGCACTGGGCCTGGACTCTGAGCCTCAGTAGCAGGTTCAACCTCTTCCTCTCCTTCATCAGCAGAGTCTAGCAGACTCTCTGACAGGATGTCAGGGTTCCCATGTATCCTTGCCCAGCCACTCTGCTCACAGAATTCAGCACTGTTGCTGAGCAGAATCCTGGACTGATTCCCTGACGGATAAGCAAACCTCCACCCCTTGGTCCCTGGCTCATACCCACAAAAATCATCTTCTGGGACCTGGGTTCACCTTTCTTGCGTTTGGCCTTTGGTATGAGGACCCAAGCCTCACAGCCAAAAACGCGGAAGTAGTGCACTTTCGGTTTCTTGCCATGGAGCAAGAAATACGGTGTGTCACCTACTACTGAATTGAACGACCTGTTCAGAACGAAGTTGGCCGTTCGCCAAGCCTCCCCCCAAAAACGCTGTGGGAGCCCGGCATCAAACAAAAGAGCTGCGGACATCTCCCCTAGAGTCCTATTCCTGCGTTCCGCGATCCCATTCTGTTGGGGACTGTGTGGAGAAGTCAACCTGTGTTGAATCCCCCTTTTGCGGAAGAAACTTTGCAGTGCAGACCCGGTGAACTCCCCACCGCGATCGCTCTGAAAGTTTTGCACCCGTGTGGAAAACTGCAGTTCCACAGCCGCAATCCAGTCTTTGATTAGCGGCGCAGCTTCATCTTTGCGTTGAAGCAAAAAACACCAAGAATTCCTCGTATGGTCATCAATCAGAACCAGCGAAAATTTGGCTCCGCCCAAACTGCTCACAGAAAACGGTCCACACAAATCTGCATGAATTAATTGAAAAGCCCTGGTGGTCACCCTCTCAGACCTTGGGTATGAGCACGTTTTCACCTTTGCGGACTTGCACGCTCTGCAATCTAGAAACTTAGCACATGATTTCATTTTGCACCCTTGCGTATACTCTGGGATCTTCATCACTGACCCCCACGACACGTGTGACATGCGTCGGTGCCAGAGATGGGCACACGCATCATGAACTGGAACACTGGCACACTGCGCTTGAGCCTCCTCCGTGTCATCCGTGTCATCTGGACCTGCAAAAGAAGCATTTATCACAAACAACCTGCCTTTACATTCAACACTGACTAGGTGCTGTCCATTCTTAGAAATAGAACACTTATTGTTCTCAAAACACACTCTGTAGTTCTCAGCAAGAAGTGCACTGACAGACAGCAACGCGCAGGACAGTCCTGGAACAACAAAAGCCTGGATTGAGTCCTGCAAGAAAGAACAAAACAGTGAGCCAGTCTGCGTGAGTGGGTGTCGAGTCCCATCTGCTAAACAGACAGTCTTCCCAGATTTTACAGAGGTGCAGTTCTCCAGGAATCCACCAGATGGCACTAGGTGATGAGACGATCCTGAGTCTATCACAAAAGCCAGCTCTGCATCCTGTTGACAACTTTTGACTACAGCCATAGAGGCAGCCAAATGTTTACGTTCAGTGTCTCTGCCAGCTGCCTTCGGCTTGCCTTTCCCACGCTTTGAAGAAGAGCTCTTTATCTGGTTGCTACGGGAGACGGCCTTCGGCTGTTCCTCCACTGGACATTCTCTCACCAGATGGGAGGGGGAGCCACAGCGATAACAGCGGCGACGCGTAGCAACAGCTCTCACAGCTCCCTCTTCAGCCATTCCTTTGTTCCCAGCACCCCCACCTTTAGGTGCACAGCCTGGGCCTGCACGCTCCCCAGCACTCTGGTTGTAGGCCTCAACTTCACACGGCCCCTCGGAGTCAAAGCAGCTACTCCCAGCTGTAACTTCAGGAACATGGCCAGCAGCCCCCTCTGGGCTCTCGGCTTCCTCCCTGCTCTCGGCTTCCTCCCGGCCCTGGGCTCCTGCTGAGTTCTCACACAGACTCCTCAGCACCTGCCAGGCGGCCTGAGCCGACTCAATGCCCTCCAGGTGGGGCAACAGCATAGCGTCCACGCTTGCTCTCAACATGCAGAGCTCCCTTTGCATTCTCAGCTCTCTATCTTCCAGGAGTGCAGCCTCCAGTTCTGCTCCTCCCTCTTCAGCAGCAACTGGCATGGGTGGGGCGGGCTCCTTCTGGGTTATACTCCAGAACCCTGTGGCCAAAAACCACCCCCTGACTCTTCTAACCCAGATATCCCAGGACTGGGTTGTGAGCTTTTCAAACGGGACATCATAAAAGTCCTGGAGCTCAGCCATCTCCTCCCCCAGTACTCCCATTGGGGCTTTGAAGTACTCACGCGTACCAGCCAGCTTCAAAGGAGAGGCCTCCAGTGGCTCTTTGCAGCACACAGCTTGCATCCAGCTTTGCAGCACACAGCTTGCAGCCAGCTTCCCTGCTTTCTCCCAGGCGAAGCCTCAAAGCAGGACTTTTGCCTTCCGGTAGCAAAAACAACAGCTTCTCAGTTTCTCAGCCTTCTTAAGCACACAGCACATCAAAGGCAGGCTTCCTCTAATTGCATTAACTGCCCCCATAACCTGTTAGATTTATTGCTCAGATAAGCGTGAGGTCCGGCACGCCCATCGCAGGCCTCTGCATTCCAAAGGGCACATTCCGATACTTCTGAGCATAGCAGAGTTCAACAGCGGCAAGAGGAAGCTGCAAAACACTCCAGTGCATTCTTCGGTGTGCTTAAATAAAGTCCACACAGGATCTTAGCAGCTAAAAGCAGTTTTATTTACAGCAGGCTATCCATTATCTATCACAGCGAACAGCATCGCGAAAACACGTCCTCTCTCCTCAAAAGCGAAAGTAGAGAGAAAGAACAAAGACTTGAGTCTCTCGGAACTGACGTAGAAGTTCCCTCCCAGCAGTAGGCAGAGCGTACACACTGAGCTGTTTAACCCTGTAAGCTCAGGTTCTCCTCACAACCACTGTATTATTATTATTATTATTATTATTATTATTATTATTATTATTACTACTACTACTACTACTACTACTACTATTTACTAAATTTGTATACCACCACTGAAAGATCACAAGGCAGTTTAGAAAATAAAAATACAAAATGAGAACACAAAAGACACAACAGAAAACAACAACAAACCAATAACCCACTTCCCACAAGCACAATTAAAAGGTCATAGATTGTTTAATTTGCCAAAGGCCTGGGAGAAAAGGAATATTTTTGGCCTGGTGCCTAAAGATATGTAATGAAGGCACCAGGTGACGCTCCTTGGGGAGAGCATTCCACAAACAGGGAGCCACCACAGAAAGGGCCCGTTCTTGTGTTGCCAGAGAGAACTTTCAGCCAGCTTTATCTTGATCTGACCCCATTTCCAAACCTTAATAAGAGAAAGAGATGAAAATAAGAAAGCATTCATTAAGTTGTGGAGAAGCTAACACTGGAAAGAACAAATGGCACAGCTAAAGCAGCAGATTTTATTCTTAAAACAGAGATTAGCCTTTGTTGTGTTGTGTTGCCTTTGTTGTGTTGTGGACTACAACTCACATCAGCCCCAGCCACCATAGTCAATGGTCAGGAATGATGGGAGCAGTATTACCGGATATCTGGGGACCCCCACATTGTCTACCCTTGCTCTAAAGAAATCTATCATATGGAAGCATAGCTATGGAAGCTTTAGTTCTGCGTTGTGTGTGTGTTTGTGTTTGGAAAAAAAGAGAGAGAAACAGTGCTTGAGAATGTAGGTCAGAGCATTAATATAAATTTGATCACTTTCTTTTTATTCTTCAACATTCCCTATAATAAATCAGCTCACCTCCTCACCCCTACCCCCCTCATACATTTCACCCTTTCCGTCCTGATTTCGGATCACCGAATGTAAATCTGTGACAAGGGTATCTATATATAATATTAATGGGGCTGGGGAGGGTTGGTGTGAAATGTGAGTGCTTGCCAAATAAGGAGCGATCAGAGCCGAGCTGTTCATTCTCTGTAGCATGCTCTACATCATCTGCAGGACAAATGTAACATCATTAGGCAAAAAACCTAGCCATTCTGCACGGAAACGGCTAAGCTGGAGGTACCAATCAATCTAGCCGAGCCAGGTCCCCTCTGATACTGTCAGAGGCAACAGACAAAACAGATTGCCGTCTTGATCACAGAGCTTCCCAAAGCAGAACAAAAACAACCCTGCTCTTATCTATGAGATGCCCGTGTAACCAGTTGTTGCATTCTCAGAATAGATTTAGCCGGATGGACCGAACTTGTATGCTTCATTTGGAAATAAAGGAACATTCACATGATATCCAGCCCAACAGTTCAAATACTGGGGTTGTGCACTTATACAGCTGTCCAGAATCTAAACCTGACCAGGCAATGATCTGTCCAGGACAAGGGGAAACATATCAACTTCCAACACTCTCAGAACATCTTTTCCCTATCCAGAAAAACAAACAAGGCCCAGTATATGGGAACAGGTCCTATTTCATTCATTCATTTATTTGAAAGCATTTGTAAAGGGTTAAAAAAATTAAAAATCATTTGGGACAGGCCCATGGCTATGAAAACCTGAACTGTTCCAGCCAGGTATGAACATGATATGATCATTGAAGTCATCCAAGACAATAAGCCTTGGGAATTCTAATGCCAATGTGGAGACCACCCTGGTCAGCTTGGGTAGAGAGACTTTAGGCTATGGGATGGGTGCTAAACCAACACTAAATGCAAATGTTCAATTCCAGAAGATTTTGGCATAGGTTATGTTTACTTTGGCAGGGCATGTTTACATGAGAGACTTGCACGTTCATTTCGAAGTAAGTGCCACTGAGTCAAATACACTGATTGCAGATCTTAAAAATAGCTCACTGCAGGCAATTTCTGAGGACTGGCACCAGTAGTGAGCATCATCAGGCAATAGACAAGGCCATGCCCCACTAGGGCCCTCCACTTCTATTAGCTGGCGCCTTCTAGCCCTGTTGCTGCTCCTCCTTGCTGATGCTGAGCAAGTGAGCAGTGGAAGGAGCAAGGAGGAGTTGCATCTTCTACTCACCTAGTTCTCTTCATCTGTCTGGGTGTGTAGATCGGGCCTCTAGGAAGAGGGCATACCCTTCAAGTGTCCCAGTTTTACTGGAATTACAGCCTGGCTTCTGATATGATCCCAGAATGTCCTGTTTCCTCCCTCCAGCGCCGCCACCGCCAAGCTCAGGGAGGAGGATGAGTTGGTGTTTGCAGCCAGCAGTTGTGTTTGCAACGAAACCCTCAGGAAGTACAACCCTGCCAGAGCGGAGGCAGTCAATAACTTCCCCCACCCTGGCCAATGCTTTGCAATTCTCTCTTTATATATATATATTGATATCACTGATTCAGGGTTCCCTACTGAATTTCTAGGCACTGATGACACCCTGGAATTTTATTTTAAGAAATGTGACCTGGGGCCTCCATGAAAATTGAATTCCCAAGGGAAAGGATAGTGTCTCATGTTGCAAATACAGTGGTACCTTGGTTGTTGAGCTTAATCCATTCTGGGAGTCCATTTGACTCCTGGAACCATTAGAAAACCAAGGCATGGCTTCCAATTTGCTGCAGCAGCTTCCTGTACTCAATTGGAAGCTGCAGAAGCCACGTCAGAATGTTCGGCTTCCAAAAAATGTTCGGCTTCACAAACAGGAACACTTACTTCTGGGTGTGTGGTGTTTGGGAACCGATTCGACAACCAAGGTACCACTAGATTCAGAAGTGATCATGACAAAATATTACAACAGGGACATAGAATATTCTTGTGGTGGGGCATTAACTGTTTTTTTTAATGAGCTAATTCATATATTAAAAACTCTTGGTGTATGGTGGGAGAGAAATCTTAATTTAGTACAATCACAAAAAGGTGGCTATGTTTCTTCCAGAAAAATTAATAGGTCTGCCTGAATAGTTTAGAGTTTACAAAAATGTATCACGCACACAAGTTTTTCTCTCTCTCTCTTGTATATCATGCAGAAAAAAGGAATCTGCAAGGTTCCAAAATAGTGCTGAAGAATCAGCTGATCATAGCACTCTCTTTCCCCACCAAAATCTTACTTTTTGATCTAGCAGTAACATTTAACTCATTGATAATTCTATTATTTAAAAACTTGCTCGTGTTTTCCCCCCAGAATCTATTTTTAGCACCCAGAAAGGGTTAAATATACCAAAGGTTATTTCTGTATCTCTCTGTCAAGGTCACAAGGTGCAGGGAGCCCAGTTCATCGTTTGCAGGACTAATAAATCTCTCCAAAGGTCAGCATCTGCACTCATTATCAGCCAATCAGTTTTAATTCCAGTTTTAATACATAAACCGCTTGGAAATACACAGAAAACATTTTGTGGGTACCTGCATCCTATTTTATTCCCTTCTCTTTTTTTAAAAAAGAGACTGTTTGAGTCAGTTTATTAATAGTTTAAATAAAGGAAATCAATAGATGCATTAGAGGTATTTATCTTTAAAAGCATTTCTGTTTCTAAAAAATATTAACTATAACAACAATTAACAGACAAATATGTCTCCAGCCAAGCTTTTCATTATATCTGATGCTTCATTTCCAGAACTGGGACTTGTGAAGGCTGTTTCCCTGCTACATATGTTGTGCATCTATTTCTTCCAAAATAATCTAATTCACAGATGAGTAATCAGTGATGAGTTTCATATTTTACTCACTATTTCAAATTTGGGTTCTAAAACCATAGCCAGAGCAGCCTAGTGATAAGAGAGTTGGGTCTGAAATATATCTGTCAAACATGGCTGTGACAATGTCATGAGCAAACCACAGTTCCATGTTACACCCAAACACAGGGAACTGAGGCTTGTTCTAACCAAAGTCACTCATTGAACCAAATTCAGAAATTATTCCAAATAAGAATGTCTAGTAGTAGTATAAAAGGAAGAAGAAAACAGAAGTAGGGCATTCTCTCAGAAGGGAAAGTGATGGAACACTGTAACTGGGAATGTTAGAAGTTTGGGAAACCTCTGAGGAGGTTCTCCTTGCTATGAGAATACAGCAGAAGCTGAAATTGAGGAGCACTTCTAGCCTAGTTCACTTTATATTGTAAATGGCCCTGTGATCCTCACAATGAAGGGGAGTACAGAAATTGAATAAATAAGTAATTAATAAGGGGAAAGCACAAAATTGTATCCAGTGCTGCAAAAGCATCAACTGCCATTTACGAAGCAACCCAAAACCAGTAATGGCATCTCAAGTAGCAGAAACCAGCAAGTTAGATATGGACTGCAAATCCATTTACAGCTTTTCATTCTTATAAGTGTGCTTCCACTTGGCAAAAAGGAGCCCTGCATTCTGTTGGGCACAGCTCATGGGTGGTAAAACTCCATATAACATTTCAGTGTAAAAGCATCCACACTCTCTCTTTGGAAAGTCTTCTATCATGTCAGAAGCAACTCAGAGGCACAAGTATGTGAGATGTTTCTGCTTGAAACAAATAGTTCCTTTCCTATTATCTTGCTTCTCTTCTACCACAAGGAGGAGCACTGCTAAGAGGGACTGTAGCTCAGTGGTAGAACACCTGCTTTGATTGCAGAAGGTTCGAGTTTCAATCCTTGATATTTTTAGGCAAAGCTTGAAACTCTGGTGAGATTGCTACCGATGTAGACAAAACTGAACTAGATGGACTTACAGTCTGATGGTACTAGACAGCTTCCTGAGTTACAATGAATTTTTATTGTAATACTTATGTATCAGTTTACAAATTGCCTTCTCTGTGTGGGTCAAGGCGATTTACAAAACAAAACAAAAATCCTGAAAATAGATTTTAAAACAATACAAAGATGACCATCTATGGCAAAGGCCTTTTCATCCATCTGGAAGAGTCTCCCCTCTTGGTGTCCTTTCCCTGTATAAATTGCCCATGCAAACTCACCATGGAAACCCTTTATAATGCAGTCCTGTTTTGTTGTGTTTTAAACAGAAACTTCCAGGCATCTGTATGTGACACTCCGAGTTGCACCTGGATAACTGCAGCTATGTAATCATAAAAGCCCTTGAAAATAAATCCTACATTATGTATAGAGTTTGCCTTATCGCCTACCGTACCCTTCGAGGGGAGATAATAAATCTAATTGATTCACTCGTGCGTTATCTTAATGCCAAAGAGTCCAACACAAAATTGTACAGCAATATTGAAATGACCACCACACAAAGTCAACATGATGCCAAGGAAAAGAATAGAACAATATTCTTAATTCTGAAAAACTGTATTGATAATCAATTGAAATGCAGCCACCATTGAAGAGCTGTCCAATTTTCAACTGCAGTATAAGTTGGGAAACAATTTGAAAATAATGGCTCATACAAAGAGGGTGGGTTGCTGGGTAGGTTTTTTTTTAGACAGTCAATATGGACTTCATCTGAAGGACAAATAAGATTTTGGCAGCCTTTGTGCTTTAGACATTATCTGCAGTACACGCCAAAGTGGCCCAACTCCTCTCAGTGCGTGAAATCCTTGTGCTTGACTTTAGTGAACCTGCATTTAATGGGATACTCATCCTCCACAGCTATTTCCAAACAGTGATCACAACCACCAGTGCCACTATTATTAGTATACAATCACTGTAAGTGTGGGTGTGTCGACTCACTCCACATATGTGGCTTGCTGAACTGATTCTCATTTGAAATGTTTAATTACTTTGTAATACTTCCTCTTATCATGTTGGGCTGCATAGTCTCTGGGAGTAAAACAGTTGCAAGTTGTAGCTCACCTCTGCAAAAGAAAGTTAATAATTTTCTTGCCCATTGGACAACACAGTTTTCAGTGAAATTCATTATTTCTGCTCCTTTGATTGAAGGAAACGAGCCTCTTTATCCAGGTTTGATTGCCCATCTGCTTTAGAAGGCAAGGCCTGGCCTTTGAAAAGTCTTTAAAAAACACACACACATAAACACATTTTGGTGGAATTATTATGGATTTGTGAGTAGGTATGAATGGCAGCATGCAATAAATGGCTGTTGGGAATAAGATGGGAGAGTCGGAAGCCATTATGAGCAATAGGGAAAGGCCCAGGAATAAACAAAATGGAACGTGAGGACAGTACGAAACAGAGCGAAGAAAGTGCCTCAGGCAACATATGCTAGCGTAGAGGGAGGGTCATTCCTCTGGAGCACCCCCCGTGATGTTCTAATCTCTTGGAGGACAAAATTGCAAGTGCCATAGCTGGTTGCCATCAGGTCTGGTGAAGGAAACTTACCCCTCACTGGTGCTGTAGTAAGAAGCAACTGAGAGTCTGGTCAGCAAGGAAGCAGTACCATGGACAGCTCCAAAAGAAGCAAAGAGAAATCTACAGGCAAAGTTCAGGTTGGGTCATACCTACAACCAGCAGAGGTTCGGAGTAAACTGAGAATTTACATGTTGTTGTTGTTTAGTCGTCCTGTCTTCCACTGCCTCCCGCAGTTTGGTCAAACTCATGCTGGTAGCTTTGAGAACATTATCTTGTCCTCTGTCGTCCCCTTCTCCTTGTGCCCTCCATCTTTCCCAGCATCAGGGTCTTTTCCAGGGAGTCTTCTCTTCTCAGGAGGTGGCCAAAGTATTGGAGCCTCAGCTTCACGATCTGTCCTTCCAGTGAGCACTCAGGGCTGATTTCCTTCAGAATGGATAGGTTTGATCTTCTAGCAGTCCATGGGACTCTCAAGAGTCTCCTCCAGCACCATAATTCAAAAGCATCAATTCTTCGGCGATCAGCCTTCCATGCATAGCCCCTGTTATTTTTTTGGTGTCCTTGCCTCTGACGAAATTGCTAGTGCTTACAGGGAAGAGATAGCGAACATGTGGCTCCCCAGAAGTTGTTGGACTACAACTCCCATCATTTCTGGCTATTGACCATGCTGGCTGGGGTTGGTGGGAATTTTATACATACATACACACATACATACATACATACATACATACATACATAGCTTTATTTGTATGCACCTTTCCATTGTTGAAACCAGGCTCAAAGGATGCTCTGCCATTGGAACTCTAGCTGAGATTCCTGATGGGTGCTTCTGTCTGAGATCTTGGGAAAAGAACACGTTCCATCGAGGGATCTGAGGAGCCAACTGTTATTCACCTGCCCTTGCTCTCTTCGTTGTTCTCTTTAGCTGTCTGTCGATGGTTCAAAATGCTCCTCTGAGAAAAGTATTCAGCCATTTAAGGTGCTCTATCTTTTCCAGGCAGAGCTAACTACACATGGTTAGGAGATTGCTTATGACATAATTAGTCGGCAATCTGGCACCAGGTGGTGATCGGTGAATCTTGCAACACATGGAAAGGTTAACAAAATGAGGTTCATACCTCCGAAACAACCATGGGAAACCTTTTAAAAATTATTATTAAAAAGGAAGGCCCTCCTGTAATGTTAATCGATTCAATGTAATCGGTTTAATTTGTAACACCATCTAGGGGGAAAGCATTAACAATTTAATTGCTGCTTGGTTTTGAAAGAACACAATCCCTATCTTTCCCCTTTCCTTTCAAAAGCGCTGCCGTTCAAAACAGGCAGCGCCTCTTCTGTTGTATAAGCGTAGGGAAAACCTATAGGCTCGCGACCCAGGAATGTTTTCTTGCCGGGGAGAGCTGGTACTTAAAATTCTTTGCACAGATAATTGCATCATGTCTAAAAGAGTAAAGTGTTGCAACCTTCATCTGATATTTTTAGCTCGACTTATTTCATCCTTGTGCAAGCCAAAAAAATTTGATACCAGTAGCAAATCAATATTATAACAGAGAAAGAGAGGGCGGAAGCTCTCGGAAAGCAGCCAGATTCCCAAGCTGAGTTGCTAAGCAGATAGGAACAACTTCATCACCGTCCCTTCGAAGTAGCCTGAAATGACCATCTTTTGTGGCTTGTTTATGACACTTGGAGCGGTGGGGTGTGTGTGCACAGATTTCTCCAATGCACTGCGCGCTTGCTGCCATCTCATGTTCCCTTTTTGCAGTTTGCTCTTCCTTTTCCCCTCCGTTTGGGCAGCGGGGAGGAGACAGTTTGAAGAACATGTTAGTCCGCAGCTGCCTATCTGTCGAGGAGAGTGGGCTTGATTAAAGGGGAGCTCCCTCCTGAATTTCACACATCACATCAATCATATTGATCAGCCCCCAGAAAGGCAACATATTGTCTGGGAATAAGCCAAGAAGGGATATCAATTTCACAATAGCACTTATGTCTTTCAGCCAAGAACTGGTTTATTTTTGGCCACTGAAAGCCGAGACTTGCTGTGGAGTTGTCTCCCACCGCACCCCTGCCGCTCCTTTCAGGTTTATATTTTGCCTTTATGTTGACAGTGGCAATTTTGCTGTCACAAAAATCTTAAAATCAAGGCTTGAACAGCTTTTAATATATGTTTTTTTTAAAAAAACACTCCTAGATCACTCAAGGATGCTATGTGCAACCTTGCTACATTTGATACTTTCATTCCAGGGAACACAGATTCAACCTTCTCGTAAACATATTGTTCGAAAACAGCAACTCTGTCACATACAAAAGACAACATCTCTCAGCCACACATTTATGTAAAACAGATTTCCACACAAGAGGATGCATGTACAGCTTGCTCTGGAGCCATGCTGCCTCCTATCACACGTATTTTTTGTTGAATAAGAAATACATTTGCCAAAATGATTTAATAACTTAGACACATCATATACTTAAAGACATAAAATGCACAATTAGAAGTTCCATGAATCACCTAATAAATCAGGTGTGGGAAATTTGACCTTCCAGATGTTGATAAACTACAACTTCCATTATCCTTGGTAATTGGCTGTGCTTGCTGTGGCTGATGGGAGTTGTAGTTCAGCAACATCTGGGGGGGGCAAAGGTTCCCCACATGTGTAATAAATAGAGCACCAATCCATGGTGAAAACATGACAAAACACAGAATATACCTCTGGTAGGGAGGAGGCCAGCTAGGGCTAAGCTGCTTTCACACATGTGTTTTGTGCATCCCCAGTCAAACTGTAAAATTTGATGCTAGCTGGGAAGCCAGCACAGACTGTAGTTTGAATTATATATTTTGAAGTATATAAAACAGATGTAAGTAAAAATCAGGGCTGGAGAACCTGTGGCTCACTAGATGTTTTGAATGACAGCTCCCAGCATCCCTTACCATTGGTTGTGCTGGCTGGGCTGATGGGAATTGGACTCCAACATCTGAAGGGCTACAGGTCTCCCACCTCTGGTATAAATGAGTAGACAATTTTTTATTGCCTAATTACCAGAGCCCCCTCTAATCTGTAAGGGTTAAGTTAGCATGTAAAGGGTGTTAGTGTGCTTGCTCTGCCCCTTCATCACCATTCTTGTGACGTGAGTTGGAGGGTGACCATGTGGACTGACTGGAGAGTCTTCGGGGCTTGTGGAGGCTCCCCATACATAGGGCTTTAAAATGTATAGTGATCCTCTGCAAATACAGGAGGTTCATTGCTTGAGGAGATCACTTTTCACGTTTGAGGTTAATGAGAATGGTGAAGAGGGGTGGGACCCTCTTCAGACATTACCTATAAGCCACCATCGCCCCTCCTTTCCAAATGGTGGCTTAACCCTTCTAGAGGAGGGAGGAATAGCACTGCATGTGGTAGTTGCCTGGATTCAATCTCCTGTTTACTTGGTACTGAATACAGAAAATTATTCCTTGTGCTACACCCTCCTGTACTTATGGAAATAGCTCTGATGGATGACCCATGTGTAGGCAATAGTTTTTTTATGCACAGCTAGACTTCTGTGTATTAGGGATTATGCCTTCAAATCAAACAGATTATATCCAGTTGTGCCCCTCCACTTACAGAAAGTTCTGACGTCCAGTGGATGCTTCTGTGAGTAGTGCATGAGGGAGATAGCTCCCCATGGCCCCCGAGACCTGGTCCAGACAGTTGGTTTGACTTTTGGTAGTGGTGTTGGAGGAATATAGAAAGCTGCTGAGTCAGACCACTGATCCGTCTCGCTCAGTGTTGTTTACGTCGACTGGGTGCCGCTCTCCAGGATTTCTAATGGTGAACATTCTCAGAGCTCACTGGAGACGCAAGGTGTGGCATTCGTACAGAGCCCCCGGTCGTCTCACGGATTATTGACCTGTACACCACTAATCTACTGCCACCAACCAGGTAAAATCACTTCAATCTTAGTCAGATTCTCAAGTTAATAAAGAACAGAGTATTTTATTTCAGACACAAACAAACTTTTACGGCATTCCAAATGTTGTTACTCTTTACTTTCTTAGTCTTATTTTCCTCTCTCTATCTCTTCTACCTCCCCTCACTCAAGAACCCACTGCCCTGTCTCTCTGTTTCCAACTGCCTGCCAACTGCTTCTCCAATTGCCTTTCCCAACCAGCCAACCCACTAAAACCAACCCACCGACAACTCTAACAAACCTCGGGCTAAGCCCTTTTATACACATCTAGGCTTTCCTATTGGTCTACATTTTCAACCCTTTCTTTCCCCCTGTACAGACAGGCTCTAAACAAATGGGCAAACGCCACACAAGGGATTGAACCTTCAGCATGCAAAGTGGATCCAGTCTACCTCTTGAGCTACCGCCCTTCCCCTACAAGACAGCGCACAGGGCTGCAGACAAAAGGGGGACTTTGCAAAAACCGCTTGCCTCTTCTGTTTGCAAAAGCTTCCATTGTGAGGGGCACACGGCACGGCACAACGCAGTGCAGAGTTTGGAGCCCTCCTATAAACATTCCGCAGAGAATTCTTGCAACTGAACTTCAGGGTCCAGTGGCAATACTGTGCCATGCAGGGCACCCAGTTTCCCTATGTCTGCCTGCCTCTTGCAGTACTCTGTGCCACATCCTGTCCTGTTCAGGGAAGTCCACCAACCCTCAAGAGGGGGTTACAGGAGGGGGGTCACAGGAGGTATGAAGATCAACAAAAATAAGATGCCCTGCCTTGTATGATCAGAAGCGCTTTCTCCTAGCTCAGAAGTTTGATGACCCACGTGTGTTTAAAATGCTACCCAATCACTGGCTATATTTTATTTTTTAACTTCAGTAGCAAACAACAACTTTTCCAACCATTTATGTATTTTTGAACCAAGATAGGAGCTCATGCTACTTTCCTGCAAATTAAGTAGTTAATATTCATGTGCAATCCCTTCTAACAGTCTTATCTTAAAAAGTTACTATGCAGCTTGATTAATACAAGCCTTGATTTGCAATCCTATACACACCTACCTGGGAGTAACACCCATTGAACTCAGTTGGGTTTACTTCTGAGTAGATATGCGCATCGTTGCAGTGTTGATGTCCTATATGGTTGATCAATACTGCAATCCTATACATGTCTACTCAGTGATATGTCTGATTGAGTTCATTGAGGCTTACTCCCCAGTAGCTAAAGTGATTAAATATGTTATTATACATTAGTTACAATACAATTTTTAATGCTGTTATAAAACTTTATTATTATAATTTTCCCCTATATCAACATCCCTTTCTCATATTTCTGCTTACTCAATATGTTTACTGATTTTTGAGAAGTTTACATTTAATTTACTGGGATGATTAAATTTCGTGACCATTTATTGAAAATCCCTTTTTTTTAAAAGTACCATTATTATTAGCATTAACAAACAGATTTATTGTTACTAAGTGAACATGCAGGAAAGGGTAATTGAATGTTATTTTATTTTCTAAGCAAGCACAAATAGCTATGTTTATCCTTTAAAACAAAACATGAGAGAAATGTTGTGTTTAAAATTCCTTAATTAAAACGTTTCTTCCAACTTACAAATTTCGGTTTGATTGGCAGCACGTTTCAGAAAGCTCCATCCTTAAGAAAGGTTAGCAATGGGTTGTGTTAGATGACTGAGCTTGCAAGGGTATCCTATTCAGAATTCTGCTGATCGATAAAACTCAAAAGATACAGCAACAGAAATACTATTTGCATAAGTAAAGTACACACACATTGGGATGCAGTCGACAAGAATGCGTTTAAACACAGGGCTTTAAAAAACAGAGAGAAATAAAAATGTGCCGAAATAGATTTTTCAGGCTTCGATAATTTATCATCATTTCCATGGAGTTTCTTTACTGTTTTCATCTCGATCTTTCTAGTTATCTCTCGACCATTTCCATATGTAGCCCATATTATCATACGCTGAACTAAGTCAGCAGTTCTGACATCTTCATTTCGGTGTCCTTTCCTGTACCTTTAGCAATGTTAATGTTACAAATTACAGGAAGGCATATTAATAGCAGTACCAAAGAAGCAGAAAGAAATGAGCATGGGCTGGGTTTTTTTTTTTTTTTAAAAAAAACATTTTAAAGAAAAGGAACGGAAAGGAAAGGAAAGGGGGTGGGGGTAACCCTAAGTACTGACTTGGGATTTCCTGGGCCCATTGTCAAGTCAGCCGAACCCTCCGCCACTTCCATTGTGATGATAATGGATTCCGTGTTGTTGGCTCAAAGGTCATGAGGTCACCGTAAGCTCCTTAATGGACTGTGAAATAACTTTAACTGCATTAACCTCTCTGGATCACGTGGGGTCGCACCAACATCCCCTCCTGAAATCCTCATTCGCTTATAGAGACGATACCATTAGATTATTATTTTTTCTTCTCCTTTTTGGAATAGCAATAGCTGCTCAATGTAATTATGCACCTAAGCATTTCCATTAAGTGAATAAGACTTTAAAAAAGATTAACTGGGGTTTCTCCTGCGTCCAGGATAAAGGTAAACTTAAGGCAGTGGTTTTCAAACCCTTTAAAAAAAAGAAAAACACCACCTCTGCTGGAGAGACAACACTGCTTTTAAAGCAGGAAGTCATTAACAGAAATGTAACACTCCCCCCCCCCCTTTTCGTACAATCATCTGAAGAAGAGTTTAGCTGGTCGGGTGCCCACATGGTGGGCATGGATTACTAATAGCTTTATAGAATGGCTGCACACAAACTGGGTGATTATTGGCAACACGGGAAAAAATCGCTTATGCAGAAAACATCAGATGAAATGTGACAGCTTGTTACCCTTATAGTACTCTGTTGTCGGAAATCCTGGCCATTTGGACTCTCTGAAAAGACATTGTCTCCAAAATACATTTATGGAGATCGCCTCGGAATTCCAGGTCAGACGCCGGTTTGCCAACTACAACTTTTTAATTTATTTGAAACTTCACCAGTTTAATTAGCCACCGTTCGAAATACAAATGTTTTCCTTTGGTGACTCGCAACATTTAAAATGATTAAAGGCCATATAAAGTATAAAGCAACGTCGCCGCTATCATAAAAACAGCAGCAAAAACGTTGCAGATCATTCTGTATCATTAATTCCCTTAAATATATCACAGAAAGCTGTACCCGCATAATAGAGGGTGCTAACTAAAAGCCTGGTTGGCATCTGTCTGTCTCGGGAGACAATGGAGGAGTGTGCCTTTGGGGGTGAGGTCAAGCTGTCAGGAGGTTGCAGCGCCTGCTGTGGCTGTAGAGACCAGTGCAGAAGAGACAAGTTTTGTTGCAGCTGGGGCAGATGAAGGCATCCAGTTGTGCTGTTACAGATGCGCCATGGCGTTTCTTCTCTCTGCACTCCTCCCAGCGGTCATTCCTCCTCTGGTCACTGCTATGGATGTACAACCTGACTGCCTGTCTCCAGGCAGTGTGGTCGTCTGCAAGGGATTCCCACACAGCAGGATTGATGCTTCCAGCCTTCATGTCACAATTGCAGAAATCTTTGTAATGAAGAGTTGGTCTGCAAATGGGCTTGGCTCCTGAAGCCAGCTCCCCGTAGAGCACGGGGATACTGCCATCTTCCATTCTGTGGACATGGCCAAGCCTGAAGAACAATGTGTTTGCAGCCTGCCACAACAAGGCAAAGACGACTAATATGCATGGGTTTTATAATTGATTTCACATTTGTAAACCACTTAGAAGCCATTCTGGCATATGAGTGGTATATAAATTAATAAAGAAAAAGTAAATGTCTGCAGTAGCAACTGGCCAGGGCTGCATTGGTGAGGCTGCCTGACTCTCCTGTGTTTCTAAAGTCACATGTCACTGCCCCTTACCGAGAGAGGTGCAACATCAGAGCTAATTTGATGGTCCTGATGCTGCGGCCGCACCATGCCAGCCTTCTCACTGCCTTGCTCCTTCAGCTGTCCTACTTAGTAACTGGCAGGGATGTGTGGCATTGGGAAGACAATAAAGCAACACAGCCCTGCCCATGCAACCCTGTCGGCTGCTACTGGCGAACTGTGTATCTTGGGAGGTGAAGTTCCATAGATGTGGGGCCACGGCAGAAAAGGACCTGTTCTTTTGGATCTACCAGTTGGACCTTCTGGCAGGTGTATGAGCAGGATCTCCGTAACCTTTCACCTCCTCCATTGCTTACAGTGTGAGATGCCAGGGCCAGTGCAAACAGACAGCTCAGGCCCAGCCCACTTGAATAAGTTCCCATTTGCTTGCTCAGTCCAAAGAAACATCCCACTTGCTACACCACCCCATTCCTTGATAACGGGAGCCCAGTATGTTTGGGTCTCACTTGCTGGATCAGCACCTTCGCTTGTGTAGGTACCTGGCATGCCTTCAAGTCTTGTTCCTGCTTATGCCCTGGACTGATTTTAGCATTTTAGCTTTTGGCAGAAAACATACTCCAAGTCCACCATCCAGCGAAAACCAGGACACCTCTGGGCCCCCCCGATGTTGAAGAGGGCCTTGTGTGCATGACCCAATGGCTTCTTTTTGTGTTTATCGTGCACACCTAAATGAGTCTTCTCTCTCTCTCTCTCTCTCTCTCTCTCTCTCTCTCCACTCCCATAAAAGGTAGCACAGGCAACATTTCCATAGCATTACATCTTTGCTGAAATTAATAGAATGGACAGCTGATGTCTGTAACATCCTTTATTTCTGAAACTCTGATGTATCCGTTCTAGTGCACCAGCACTTATAACTGTCCATTAGGAGCTACATCGAGATGGTCACAATCACTCAGAAGCCCCTTTCCACTTCCTAAAAGCCCCAATTTAGAAAATGCACATTGGAAGTCAATGGGGATTTAAGACACGCTTAAAGTTAAACATGTGCATTAGTGCTTTGCTGGAGAGTAATGGATTTCAACATATGCTTAATGTTTAAGTGGCCCTCTTAAGTATCTTCCCAGAGCTGGCAAGCAAGAGCAAAACTCTGAAGCTCATCTTTCCAAATTGGAAATAAAAATGTTAGCATATAGATGCAATACGGAATGTATAAATACAAGGATATGCAATCGATTAAAAAAAGCAACCCTCCACCATTTAAAAAAATATTTTGGATACATTACTAAGTATGTATAATTTGTTTCTAGGCCATTCACCTAATATGGAGAATCACTCAATTATTCCGTTATGTCCTTGAGAATACTCACAAGCTGCAAAATATTGGAGCTAAATATCTAGTATAATCTAGTAAACCCTGAGGCTCCCTTAAGCAAGATATCACACAAAAATCCTACCTCCCATATGCTATGCAATGGATCTTAGGATTCCTTTGCCTGCTGATAGTCCCACAGCTAAAGTAACTCTCTCTCCTCCCTGTGGTTTAGTGCATTGACCCCAAGTCCTGATGGGCTGCTACTATCGCTGAACCACAGCGACTGATATTGCTGGCCCACAGATCATTCCCAGGCAGCTTAGCTGATGGTCAGGCAAGATGGGAGTGGTAATCCAACAACATATGGGGACCCGGGGCTGAAGAAAACCACCCTGCAGCTTTGCCAATGCATACCCTCCAACTGCCCCAGTTTGAGGGACACTCTCAGATTCATGGACCTATTCCCAGATTCTGTTTGGATCCAGGAATTTCCCACTTTCCCCTTCCAGCACTGGAGTGGAGCATGAGCTGGCCGGCTGAACCTCCCCATGGCTGCCACTGCAGGCCTCCCTTCGGCAGCTTGTAACAGCGGCTGGAGAGCTGTGAAGATGCTCTCCCTGCAGGGGTTGTCCTCACCTCCCTTGCATGCCCAGTGGAGGAGAGGAGTGGTGGCGGCTCTCCACTGCTTCCACCCCCGTCTCAGGCATGACCCGGGAGTGGAGCTGTGGCCTGGTGGTACTGAAGAGCAAAGGAGAGGTGCAACACTGCCGCCACCGCTCCTTCTCCCTGTTGTTTCTGCCTCTGATGTTCTGAGGCACATATTCATGACCCAGATCCAAAGGTAAAAATGTTGGAAGGTATGTTGATAAACCCTAGTTTCATTGCCACACGGTTGCTTGCTGCCCCATAGTGGCTGGCAGCAAGGCTTCAGTTCCCTCTCCTGATTACTCTTCTCGGGCGCCCAATCAGCAAAATCGCATGCACTAAACACAGCATGGGGAAAAGAGCAAGTTGCTTCCGTTTACCGAAATAGGAAGTGGGCTGTTTTGGCTGCAAACAAACAATGAGGACAAATGTTTAATGAATAAGTTGTCTGGAAGTTGCTACCTTGGCCTTTCCCCAACCTGGTGCCCTCCCCGCCCGAAGTTTTGGAGTCTGTTGTGATTGATGACCTGGGAGAAGATTGCGAGCATAAGTGGGCAGTAAGAGGGTTTGGATCATTACATTTTTTAAGTTCAGCAAGTATAGGTGTTCAAATGTGTCTACCTATTTATTCAACTGTCCATCTGTCAGATATTCCAATAAGTGGCTCTTGTCTAGGTTTGTTAATTGTCTTACTTTAAATGTTGTGAGGATCCTATGCCCTTTTAAAATGTGGTTTTGGGGTTTGTTGGGTTGTTGTATTTATTTTGATTATGTATTTTGTGGCTTTATATTTTGATTTTATTCTGCAAATCACCCTGAGACCTATGGGTATAGGGCAGTATATAAATTCAATAATAATAATAATAATAATAATAATAATAATAATAATAAATGCATTATAGCACATAGAATGTAAGTTTCAAAGGAAAGCATGTACGTTGCAGATGTGGGTGTGAAATACATAAGGAGCACAGAGAGGCTGTAGCTAAAACAGAGGTACAAAACCTTGATGGGAAAGATGTCAAAGCAGGAGGGGCAGAGGGGTCCCAAGGGTGCTGCATTTCATCTTGTTCATCATTATGTCAGCCCCTGAGACCACGTAACTAGATAGATAGATAGATTGATGGTTCCTTGACCTTTGCTTTTTTCCACGGTTTTATCGCTCTACGGCCACATCCCCAAATTTCTTAGTCTCTTTGCATCAAGCCTTGTGTCAAGCGCCATCATTACTTTTAGTTCCACAGATGTTTTACATGTCCCAAATCATTTTTTCCAGGTGTTGTTTGCTGTGGTCTGCCATCATAAATGAACCAATAAGTTTTTATTTATTTAGATTATAGTATAAATAAATCTGGTCTCGGGTTTGCCTAGGCTTCTGCTTGCTATAGCCTTAACAAATTTAGGAGGCTGCATTTAGACTCCCCCATAAGCAAATACTACCATAATTATAATGTGGTTTGTATTAATTCCAAAACATCCAGAAGTAGCCCAACAATGAATTCTTTCCAGCTATTCGTAGCCACGGTTTTTGCTATCACTCCTTCTTTGTGCACTTGTTGCTTGATTCAGCTGTAACTTTGCACATGCCCCAAGACTTTGTGTACATTGTGATTTTGTTCTGAGCATACGTGTAGCCAAGGGTGTGTGTATGTGTGCCCTATTCATGTCCTATTCAAGGGTATTCCCCAGAAAAGCTCAATAACTTTGCTTTGTGGCTCTGAGCAATCAGTATGATGCTCTTGCAAGGAATCAAAGGAAGTAATCCAAACTACGATATTCCCAATGGAGGAAGCACAAGCAAAGCATCAAGGGAAGCCCTAGTGCAGGGCTGGGGAATCCTTTTCAACCTGGGAGCCACATTCCTGTTAGGCAACCATCTGAGGGCCACATGCCAAATGTGGCTGGGACCAGATGCAAACACAGGCAGGGCAATGCATGTGAATTTACCTTTATACAATAGGTTAGCTTTTACACCCACACCCACCTCTATCCTGCATCCAGAAGGGCTGTGCCTGAACTCCCAATTTTCCCTGTGGCCCCAATCGGTGGCCCTCTGTGGGGTTTCTACAGAATATATTCTGCCTTGTGGCTGCTGTACAGAGGAATTATCTCACAGTGACCAAATTCCTTGCCGTAATCATATATAATGCAAGGAAATGCCCTCAGTTAGTACTACTTAATTCTGGGAGCACCCTACAGCAAGCTCCTTAGCTTTCACATTTCCTGGGTGCTGACTCCTTTCCCAATGCAGAATGCTCCAAATAGCCAAGAGACTCGTTGCAATTTCCCTGCCACTGTCTGGTGGTTTGTTGGAGTAGGAACATGTGATTAACTTGAACACTTCTTCCTTTGTCAAGCAGTTGGAACTGTTAGCAAGAGGGCTGGCCCAAGACATTTTGGCACCTGAGGCAGACCCCAAAATGGCTCCCCCTCTTGCTGCCAGGGAAGAAGGGGCAAGAGAATACCTACAGTAAGAACAAGGGGAGGAAGAAAGATCAGTATCGTGATCTGCTGCCACCTGAGGCAGTTGCCTCATGATGCCTTATGGGTGGGCCGGCCCTGGCAAGCAAAACAGATAAGTGATGGAAGAAAATAGTGGCCTTGGAAATTGTAACTTAAATACTGATGATCAAATTGTAGACATTTCCATTGTTTCTGTTGTGATTTACGGTTTATTAATTCTCTTACCTTAATACCTCACCTTTCTGGAACTCCTAGGTATGGCTCCCAGGCACTCACCCATCCAGGCACTGAACAGACCTCGGACTTGTTTGGCTTCAGCAAAGTGTTGGCCTCGTGGGCCTTCAGAAATGCAATGCTGCTAGGAGCTACATGAGGCAAGGGGAAAAAAATTACGTTTGTACTTTTTGACACTGTGTCCATATTTGAGTTCCCCACCGACTCATTCAGTTCCAGAACACTGGTTAGATTTGTTTCAGGCCCTGATTGTCTCTAGTGAGTAACTTTTGACAGCACACTTGTCAGTTTCGAGGTTTATATTTGAAACTCTTTCTCTCTCCCTTTCTCCCCGCTACTCCTTACATACCTGATTGGGGTTTTCTCTCATGGCTAAAAATCAACCTGTTTTCGTTTAATCTATCTGACATTTCAGCCAATATTGCGGCCTCGCGTTTCTATGATTTTCAACATTTGTCACAGCTTGGGATGAGAGGTAGCCACTCACTAACCAAGCAATGCTGTTTGCTTGCTACATCTTTCTTTTATTTCTTTGGCAGCTGAGGAATGTCAACTGGGTTTTTTTTTGGCTTGCAGCCTGACACCGAGAGATACTAATCACCTGTAAGTCTCGCTGAACATTGGAAGAACATCTGAGGCCCAGGGACTGAAGGAGTGAAATGTATTTCTGATTACGGATCCTGCAAAAGCAACTGTTAAGAAGACAGCTTCTTCTTTTTTAAAGGCATCTTGCTCCGGTCAATGAATTAAACACGGTTTGATTTACAAAATGTATTGGTTTTTTCAACATCCAATTTGAAAATATAAGGAATCAACTCAGAAGAAGAGAATAAGGTTCTGTGGAACAAAGTTTGATGGGGCACACAGGCAGTTTGCTTTGAGACATTTAAACTACGTACTGCTCCATTTTGCGGGGGAGGTACTTTAACAGAGAATAAATAACTTTTGAAGATGGCACTGTATGTTTCAAGAAACACAGAGATGCTATTAAACATAAGCATCTACCTATAAATTTATTTATATATGTAGAGTCTGAAGAGCAGCTGTGAATTAAAAAAAAAAATTAAAAAGCAAGTTCACATATTAAAACAGCAGCAGCATTTATTAAACCAGCATTCCTCAAGCTGGGCCCTTCCACGTGTTTTAGACTGCATTTCCCATCATCCCTGACAAATGACCATGCTGCCTGAGGCTGACAGGAGTTGAAGTCCAGCAACACCTGAGAAGCACCAGTTTGGAGAAAGGCTGTATTAAACCAATGGCGGTAACATAAAAGCGTGTATCAGCAGTATGTAAATGATCTGGTCATTCCATAATTGCAGAACTATCCCCACAAGGCCCTTTACTCAGGCCATCCATGTTATCTGAGTTGGCAAGGAGACCCTCAGAAGAGTCTCTAATTCCTTTCCTTCCTCAATAAGGTGTCAAACATTTCTCATGTCTGGATGTCACAAACTGTGTTCAGGTGCAAACTGCACATTTAAATAACTATCACACTCCTTGAAAGAGTCACAGCTTTCCCCAAAGAATTGTAGTTTGCAGAGTTGAGAGCCGTTAGGGATGCTCTATTCCCTGCACAGAGCTACAATTCCCCAAGTTCCAAGGGAAGACTGACTGATTGTTAAATCACTATGAGGGGAATAGGGGAATGACTCCTAGTACCCTTAAAAAACTACAGTTCCCATGATTCTAGAGGGAAGCCATGACTATTTAAGATGATAAGATAGTGCTTTGAATGTATAATGCAGATGGGCCCATGACTCACATTGGATACAACCCATAGGGCGGTATTCAGCTAAATCACTGGTCTTCAACCAGTGGGTTGAGACCTACTAGGGAGTCACAGCCTTACTCAAGGTGGATCACAAGCACTACCACTATGCAAATATATGGTTAAAATTGAGAAATGGGTCCTCAAACGCATGCTTAGATTCAAAGTGGTCGGGAAAGGTTGAAGATACTTGAACAAAATAATTGCACTAGCATCATGGAAATTCCCCCCTGTCCTTCTCTTCTTCCCATGTACTCTATGCATATTACCAACAGACTCCCACAAGGGCCTTAGGATCAGCATAGCAGAGCATCCTGGTCAGAAATAAGAGAACATGCTAAGCTAATGGCAGATTTTGTGTGCAGGGGAAAATTTCTGTGCGCATACAGAGACAAAGAACTTGATTAATCACCCAGGAAAATGTGTGTGTATATATATTCAGTGAACTCTGTCCCGGTGTAACTGTTCCATAGAAACTTTATATATTTTAGTTCTTAACATATAATATCATTTTCACATGTGGTGCATTTATTTTCATAAGTCATTTGCAACCTTGGATCAACCCCCATCCAAGAACACAAGCGATGGAAGCCTTACCCCAATGGGTCTTGCTCCCATTAGTTTCCCAATAGATGATGGATTTTTAATATGCAAAGGCATTTTTCATATATTGGAAGACAATTAAGAAAGGAGAGCTTTGCGAGCCCGGAGTTCCCCTATGTTCACCTCATGGTAGTCAAGGACAATTCCAGGCCTCTTGGGAGATATTAAGCCTCCATTTTCCTGTTACATCTGAAGAGAACAGCCTAGCAGAAATACAAAACGGTGTCTCTGTATGTGGATGCTGCACATTTTCCCCTTACGGTTGTTAAGCAAAATCTGTTGTGAGGACTTTGCTCATGCCCAATTAAGGTTAAAAAATATTGCTGAAATTAAAACCTACATGGCCACAAAATACATTAGCCTGTGTGGTAAGTTTGCCAGCATCCATCTTGCAGTCTGATCCACCCGATGTTCAGGGCCTCCTGTCAAAGATTTTTTAGGGTAGATATTGGCTTGTTCTGATCATTTGTTTTCAGTGGCTACTGCCCACAAGAGCGCTTGTTTTAGTGCCACTTGTCAGGGGCAGCACACCTCACAACCAGTGGCTGAGAATCACAAGAAGGGAGAGGGCTGTTGAGCTCAGGTCTTGATTGCAAGCTTCCCATAGGTATCTTGTTGGCCCTTGTAGTTGGATGGGTTCTGTAGGTAGTATGGGAAAAATCATTTTACAGTTTATTGCTCATATGTGTGAGCAGAAGTTTTAAAATAATCAGTTTAGTGTTTAGACTTAAAACCATTAGTTAGCAGAGTTTAAACACCATCCCTTGCAGCATTAAAGTGTAAACTTTGGGACCAGACTGTGTAGATTTAATTTTATTTATCCAGGCTGTGGTAGCAGACAGGATTTTCCCTTTCCCCTCTTAATAAAAAAATCATGTAACAGACTGTAAATTAAGCATAAAATAGTGTTTACTCACATTAAGTCTTGCACTCGATTCCAGCAGTAACAGTAATGAAATCAAGGCAGGCAAATTCTACTTCTAGACTACAAAATACATAGATGAGCTCAGAATGGTGTCTCCACTGGAGCAGAGACCAGAAAGATGTCCATCTGCCTTAGAAGCATGGTGGAAAAGTCAAGGAGTTCTGATGAGGCAGGAGTAGAAATGATTAAACCCTCTTTTTTTACTTTTCCCCACCAGAGAACTCAAAGGAAGTGACATCACATAGTGCCTTCTCTGGTAATCAGGAACTCTGTCATTCTGCTGCATGGGCAGATTCAGGCTAACTTGGCTCCTTTCGGGGTCCCATTGGTTCTGCTCTTTGCTTCCCAGCTGGGGTATCATTTGTAATTCGGCTGTTCTTAAGCTTTGTGGGGCAAGAATGATACACAAAGGGAGGATGTTCCACTTCTTCGGCTTGGTTAAGACAGCCATTAGTGCAGGGCTCTACTTGAAAGTGTTCTCTGTTTGAAGAAGGTGCTGTCCAAGCCTGGTTTCAAAACAAAGAAGCATGAGGGGAAGCAAGGTCTTTGATGTTGCCCACCAACGAAATCTAGACAGAAGACTGAGCAAGCATAAAGATCCCTTGGTCACAGTGTTCCCCAGTATGGTGACATATGTCCTATTTCTATTTAAATTATAGCAATTATTTCCAAATCTTTACATATACATTGGCAATTTTATGCAAATTTGCATCTTATTTTTGGGTGGCTCTTTCTTTCTTTCTTTCTTTCTTTCTTTCTTTCTTTCCATAGTCCTGGAATTGCAATGTGAGCAGAAATCTTACTTTATTTTGTGCTGAATTCAAGTGTTATTTTTGCACTGAAATGCAGTGCGGATTGATGCAAGTTTGAATTTGGCCAAAGACCATCTGGATTCAAAGCCCTCTTCTTCTGCACAGACTTACTGCCTTGCCTGAGGAAAGTTCACCAACTCTCAAGTCACATTTCTTCTTCTGTGAAATGGGAGGAGAAATGCCCTAATAATGTAATAAAAAGAGCATTTAAGACTTTGCAGGATTATGACACCTTCCCATAGAAGATCACTGAAAAGAGGATGTCTGGAAAGAGATACTGGACTATTTAGTAAGAAGAAGCCCTGTGAATGATTGCAGTTTCCAATACCTTTTTTCCTAGTAAAGTTCTTGCATTATCCTTATTCTCCTCTAGATCATTTTTGTGTGTTAATTCTTCTATGCAAATAAACCTTGCCACAATCCTTAGTTAACTGCCACCTCATAGATATATTATATATACCTATATGTTTTATCAAACTTGTGTCGTTTTCAAAAGCTATGACCTTAGAGTGCATTCCTCTATCAATTACAGAATTTAGGTAGAAAGTACTATGGTCAGCAAGGCCAAAAAGGATCCAATTATTGGCATAGCCTCATTAAAGGACCTCTAATAAATTACTTAAGTGGACTCCAACAATTATGAAAACTAATGAAAATAATCTTAAATGGCTTAGAACAAGCCTATATCATTTTAACATTTACGTCATAAAAATAATACTCAAAAGGCTTTTTAGTTCTGTAAGGAATTATTCTAGATACTGAGCTAACTTCAGCTCTGTCAAATTTAATGACCTAATTTGGGGCAGGGGGAGAGACAAAGTTGAAGGAAAGTTTAACAGGTTTGGGTGGGTTGAATTTTTCGATATGCACCTTCCCCTCATTTTGACGGACGAGACTGCGTTATATGTAAAAGTCAGGAATGTAATGGTTGCTTCTGCCACTGCTTGTTTGTAGTGTAAGAGGCTGCCATAAAACAAGAAAAAAATAATTCTGGGGCTGTTGTGTGAAGGAGAGAAGATTCAAGGGAAGATCTGACTGACTCACACATATTTCCCTACGAACTCACATGTTCATAACTGAGTGGCACAGGAACTTTACATTCATACATCCTGCTCAATTTTTATTTAGTTTGTCTACATGAGAATTTATATCTCACTATGATAAGTCCAGGGGTGCTTACAGTCATCCTGGTTTGTTTGCAGGGAGATTAGACAATGTTGACTATTTCATTCTGATTTTTGCCAGAATGTTAGTGGATGTTGCATCAAAGCAAGTGTTGCTATTTTTTCTAATTATTATTTCATGGAATCATAGAGTTGGAAGGGACCATGAGGGTCATCCAGTCCAACCCCCTGCAATGCAGGAATCTCAGCTAAAACATCCATGACAGATGGCCATCCAACCTCTGCTTAAAAATCTCCAAGGAAGGAGAGTCCACAACCTCCCAAGGGAGACAGTTCCACTGTCTAACAGCTCTTACTGCCAGAAAGTTTTTCCAAATGTTTAGTCAGAATCTCCTTTCTTGTAACTTGAAGCCCTTGGTTAAAGTTCTATCCTCCGGAGCAGGAGAAAACAAGCTTTCCCCCTCTTCCCTTGAGATATTTGGGTAATTTCAGTATTGCTTAATATATAACACTATCCCACACTTTCCAGGATATTTTCTGTCACTTTCTTCCACACACACACGCGCACAATCAAATCTTTGGGATTTGCTGTGGGCTTGTTGTGCAAGAATATAATTAGCCAACCTGACTTTGCCAGTGTGTGAGTCAACATCACCTGAAAACAGTGATGGCCTGGAAGCACCCAGTAAGAGAGAGCAAGGCAGTTTGGCTCATCACC